GGGGGGGGGGGGGGGGGGTTCAATGATGAGGCTCCTTGAAAAGTTGCCGGTGCGGAGGACGGTTTGTAGGAGGGCCAGGAGGGTCCCGTCATCAGCACCGTCGACCTTGTCGGCCTCCGTCCTCCAGCGCTCCAGGAAGTCCCGAAGGGTCTCATCCCTCTTCTGGCGTATGGTTAGGAGGTGGGAGAAGTGCTTCCTTGTGCGACGCCTCCCGGCAAATTGTGTCAAGAATCGCTGGGCGAGTTCTTGCCATGAATCGATGCAGCCCTCGAGCAGCCTGTTGAACCATTCGTATGCCGGCCCCTCTAAGGTGGAGAGGAACCAACGACACAAATATTCGTGTGACGCCCCTACCATCATCATATTGTTCTGGTATTTGCTGTAGTGTTCATGGGGATCCGTTTTCCCGCTGTAGGGCTGTATGTGTTGCCCTCGGTATTTTTCCGGGATCCGGGCCGCCAATACCCTTGGGGTAAATGGCGTCCGAGTCCGGAGCTGGATGACGGGTTCCCCGGAGCCCTCAGCCACCTTCTTATGTAATTCCTCCATTTTGGCCATCATGGCCTCGTATTTGAGGTCTGAGTGAGGGGTGGAGGTGGTGGCGTGAGCTTTGTTGGACTCCATTTCGTCAAGCCGACGCTGGAGGGCCGCAATAATATCGTCCCGGGGATCCTTCGGGAGGGTCTCCGCCCCCTGGGAACGAACCCGGGCCGAGTGGGCCTGGTTGATCTGGTGGCGAGCGTCATTGGCATGAAGGGGTGCCTTGCCTTTGTCCCGAGGGGGACGCTCCTCGTCTGCCCTCGAGACGGACCCCCCGCTTTCCTGGGGCCTTTGGAGTGCTTTCCCTCCGAGGCGGTCTTGGACCCCTCGGCGGTCTGGCCCTCCTCCGAGCCGGTTGAGGGCGGAAGTGCGGGGCCTTTCTCTGTTGTCATTGTGGCGGTCCCGGGACTGAACTTCCTGGGAGGACGTATCTTGGGCCGCTATCCCTTCGTCGTTCCTAACCCGAGGGGTGGGGTTTCCGAAGGGGTGTGGCAGAGGGGGCAGTATGATGTTCTCCCCAACCTGGGGTTGAGTCGGAGCCAGGGTGCCGAAGGCACCCGGGTTCTGAGTGAGCGTTTGGATGAAGGCGGAGTGCGCCGATTGCACGTCGATGGTGAGAACCGGAGGGCTGACTTGGTCATCGCTCCGGTTTTTCTTCTTGGCCTCGATGCCGAGGCGGGCATCGGGGGCATTCTGCTGGATCTGAAGGCGTAGGTCGACAGCCGCCTGTTCCAGCCCAGCGATGACACCGCCCTCGGGAGCCCTGTGAGAGGCTTCGGGGGCGTTGACGTCGCCGAGGACCAGATTCTTGTCTTCTACGTTCTTGGAGTTGGCACGAGTAGTTCTCACCATTTTGGTAGAGGGCTAGTGTTTGGCGAAGGGGGAGGGTTTCTTACTTGATTGTTCAACCTCTCAACGAGAGCACCAAATGATGGATAGTCTACCCGGGGGTATATATCCGAAGGGTTATTGCTGGGAATAATTTAGAGAGAAGTCAGAGCAAGTAAATGTAAAGAGGGAGAGTGTATTATAAATGTGGAGCGTTTTCAGCGTGGTTACAAATGGGGAAATGGGGTGCTATTTATAGTAGCAATAAATGCCGGACAGGGACACGTGTCAAGCGCCTATTGGCCGAGGGGTCACCTCAACTGGTTGGCGTTGGCAGCCGCATGTGGCCGCATTTAATGCGGCTGTTGGATGGGACGTCTGTACAGGGTACGGTGATCTGTACGCATGTGAGGCGGATATCACGTCGGGAGAGGTGCCCTCGGCTGCAGAGGGCTAGCCGAGGGCTCTTAGTGCCGGGGACCCCTGAGTACCGAGGGCTCCAGGTGCCGAGGGCTACTGTTTTCGCCGTTTTCTCCCAGTTCCTCTGTTTGTTCGAAATATCTATGCTGTGATAGTTTGGAGCCTTCGGCCAGGGGGCCGAGGGCACCCCTGACGCGTATTGCGGGTTGCTTGGTACTCTGGGCATCGTGATTTGGGCCTGTTGGGCCTTCTGGGCCTGTTGGGCCTCTACTGGAGTAGTGAGAGTCTGTGGGCCGGGTGTTCCCGGGCCATATACTCCATCATTCATTCATAAAAAAGTATATGGATTTAAAAGTCCATTGACTTTTTTAAAAGTCCACGGATTAAAAAAAACACCACAATCCATATTCAATACATCCCCCTTAATTACGGCAAACTCTATTATCCCGCTAATATTGTCTCAATTTACCTTTTTAGTTCATGCCACTGAGACTGTTTGATATCAAATTTGGTAAAGTTTGTGTGGCTCTAAATCATACTTTTATTAATTCAATATCGATCTCATAAACAATTTTTTATTGATTTGCATGTCACTTCTTCTTGTCTCAGTGAGACGGTGAAGAACAGTATATATATATATATATATATATATATATATATATATATATATATATATATATATATATATATATATATATATATATATATATATATATAGTAGCTTTCTGGTGCGTCCGGCCGACGGCGTTTGGCCGCCTTTCCGGTAGAATTTTTGATGAAATTTTTATGACATGTTCTTCATGAAGTCTAGTTTATTCACAAAAACATTCAGCTAAAAACTCAATCCGGAAGGTCTTCGAATGGTTTTTTGAAGTTAACTGTGCAAAATTACACACAAAAAATGAAGTCAACTTCAAAAAATCATTTGACGACTTCCGGATTGATTTTGTAGCTTAATTTTTGTGTAGATAAACTAGACTTGATTAAGAACATGCCATAAAAATTTCAACAAAAAATTCCACCGGGAAGGAGGCCAAACGCCGTCGGCCGGACGGCCCCTCTAGTGCGGTCGACCGCACATGAATATGACTCTCTCTCTCTCTCTCTCTCTCTCTCTATATATATATATATATATATATATATATATATATATATATATAAGAGACTTTTTAAGAGGATACAAAATGCCACATAATCCTGCCATGTCATCCATCATATATAACAATTATTTAGTTATTTTTATACTTCGTACCTTTTATTTTTATTGGATTCTATTTTTGATTGCATATTGATATGGAAACAAAGAGTGTGTATAACGTGCAACCGGTGCATGGTGAGCATTATGCACCCATTGGGTATTATTTTTTTTCTTTTTTAAAAAATGGTAATAACTTTTTTATTTTTGATTCGATTTTTATAAAATTTATATCAACATTTTTTATTTTTCATGATCTTTCAAATGAGACCAATATTGCCTATGTAATTTTAACATATTATCGAACTATTATATTAACCTATGTAAAATATGTAATTTTATGTGTCGAAATATGTAACTCATGTCCAGTCAGGCCACATGCAACTCATGTGTATAAATATGTAACTCTACGTGTCAAAATATGTAACTTTACATGTACAAATATGTAACTCGCGTTCAGACAGGTCAAATACAACTCGTGTGTATAAATATGTAACTCACGTGTATAAATATGCAACTTTACGTGTAAAAATATGTAACTCGCGTTCAGACAGGTCAAATACAACTCGTGTATATAAATATGTAACTCGCGTGTATAAGTATGTAACTTTACGTGTAAAAATATGTAACTTTACGTGTAAAAATATGTAACTCGCGTGTATAAATATGAAACTTTACGTGTAAAATTATGTAACTCGCGTTTAGGCAGACCAAATGCAACTCGTGTATATAAATATGTAACTTTACGTGTACAAATATGAAACTTTACGTATTAAAATATGTAACTCACATGTATAAATACATAATAAAATAAATTGTTTATATACACAATTTTAAGATAAATTATGATTTACACAATTATTTTTCTATATTAAATTTAGTTCCATTTTCCTTATAATCCAATACTCATTAATATAATAGTTCGATAATTTCTTAAAATTACATAAGCAAGTATAGAGTGAAAATTGTCTACTAAAGGTCTTGACCAATGTGATCGTCTCTTGAGCTAAGTTGTTGAATCCTTTTTTGGAGTTCTTCATTTGTGGAGTCTTTTTGTGGGTGACCCTCGTCTCGTTGTTGTGTATCCATGAGTATGTGGGCCGTGAGTCCAGACCCATATACTTCATCAGTTACCAAGTCACATATTTGTCTATTACTTTCCAAGTAATATCCGTCTTCAATGATCCCAACCCGAAAAATCCATACTGGCTAGGGATCGTTTCACTTATGCTTCCATTGACACGAAAATCGGCCGACTAGTGACACTCATGAGCCATGCCCCTCCTTGCCTTTTCCATTATCGCCTTAAGAATTAGTGACTCGGAGCCACAGTCACCTTAACGCCTGTGCCCTCCATTAAAAATATTTTTCTCGTTTTCAGTTTGATTTAGAAATGAATTGTAACAATGATTACTTCGTAACAAACAAAACCCATACTATTTTTCAATTTGATTATTCATAATATTTCGGTTTTATGCGATTTGGATTTGTTATCTTTTAATAATTAATGAAAATTTTACTCCATTTGTCCCATATAAAAGATCTTCACTTTCTTTTTTTTTGAACGTCGTATATAATGGTTTTCGTTTCTGTTTTAAGAAACAATTAACAATTTTAAATGACAAATAAATCATTAAATATTAAAAACAATATATTTATAAATATTATTTCTCAAAATATACTCAAACTACTTTATTTAATTTAATTATTATCTAAAGAGAAAAGGGGCAAATAAGGCCACGTACTAACCAAAACAGGTCAAATAAGGCCTTATTTAAGAGGCTCTGTCTGGCCATCGCCATTTGGGGTGGTTCCCGGTGGAATTTTTTGATGAATTTTTTTGACCATCTTATTCAGTAAGTGTAGTTTACTCATACCAAATTTTAGCTCAAACGGCAATCGGGAAGACATTCAAATGAATTCTTGAAGATAACTACTCAGTTAAAAGCGCAGTTATCTTCAAGAATTCATTTGAATTCCTTCCCCATTGAATTGTTAGCTGAAATTTGGTATGAGTAAAATAGACTTAATGAATAAGATGGTCAAAAACTTTTATCAAAAAATTCCACCTAGAACCATTCCAAATGGCGAACACCGGATAAAGCCTCATAAATAAGGCCTTATGTGACCTTTTTTGGTTAGTACGTGACCTTATTTGCCCTTTTTCTCTTATCTAAATAACCGTGACGTTTTATCAATCTTCTTTAGTTCAATTTGATTTAATAATGTTTGATTCAATTCAATTTAATTCAATTCAATTAAACCAAATCCATACTCCCCCTCCCTAACACTAACACAGTAACACCTTACACCTGTGTTGGCCGTGTAGGAGTTCTGGACCTTCTGGTCATATTTCTAGATAGGAAGAAAGAACATATTGCAATGGAAGAAAGGGCAGTTGAAGCGATAAAGCACGCCCTGAAGGAACTCCGGAAGCGGCATTTACTCGAAGAAGGGGCTCATCTTCCTGCCTTCACCGCCCTTTCTCGCCCTCTTGTTCAGCAGGTTCCATCCTTTTCTCTTATATTCTATTATCGAATAAGTTTATGTGCATCAAATCTGTGTGTGCAAAATCTGCTTACTTTTCAACTAGTTTGGCCAATTGAGGCCGATTATATATATATATATATATATATATATATATATATTTAACTGCAGTACTTTATGCCCCGTAATGTTCAGAGGATGTAAAATTTGGCTAACTAGATATCCACGAGACTTGAACTTAAGCATTCGTATGGCTATTTCGCTGAGATGGAAGAGTAGATATTCAGGAAAGTGGCGTTGAGAAGGGTCAGGAAGAACAGTTCATATGTACATTATTTTCTGTGTATTAGTTTTCCAGAGAAACACTTATTGAGCTGTTGTGAGTCACTGCTCTCTATTTAGCCATGCCCATCTGTTGCTGATTTTAAGTTTGCATCAGTAGGACATATTGTTCTCTAATATTACTCTCATTCACAAAATTATCATCAAAACTGACTGGTTTATGAAATATTTTTATTCCTTTGAGAGAAAAAGAACTATTTCAGAGCGGCGCTTAACTACCAATTTACTACACCTGCTCTGTTTTACACTATGTATCTATTGGAGTTTGTCTATTTATTTTTCTAAAAGCTAAAATGCAGGTTCATAATTTTCAAGAGATTATCTTTCTTGAGAAATAATGTGAAACATTTGGTAGATGAAGAGTAGAATAGGCTCTCATTAAAGTTCATTTTAGTTAACAATTTCATGGGATGTTTTTTCTTTTACAAAGGTTTATAACGAGCTCATATTTTTTACTATAAAATGAAGCACAGTACACACACATGAAGATTCAATCATTTTGGTAACATGAGGATCGAGGATAGGGCAAATTATGCTATGCTCACCCCCTCTCCCTTGAAGTTATTTTTTGTGGTTCTGTCCTACCAACAGATTTGTACTTCACATAAAAAAGTTTCTCTAATAAAGACACTTGTCAAAAGAAATTAATCCCATTGTTTTCCATTTTACCATTAAAAGTGATCCATTTTCCGCAGAAAATGATGTTAACCACCCTTCTCTATGAGGCAAAAGTCTTGCATTCAATAAACTGTAGTTTTACTTCCATACACATTGTATGTGGTATATGAAGTATATATTCCTCAAAGTCAAGGAATGTGGTTATGAGTGGTTTTGTTGACCCTGCTTGTCGGATATGACTTGCCTAATGTTGCGACGTTTTTATTTAATTAAGAATCTTGTTTTAAATCACAACCTTTAATTTAAGGTATTAAAGATCGCATGACCCAGTTTTTAATGGGATAAATGCAATGCTAACCATTGCTTTTTGACTGCTGCCTTTTTGTGTCTTTTTTAGCTAGCAATCTTTGCTTTAAGTTCACGCTGTGGTTGAACGTACTACTACGGGTGTTTCATTAAGACCTAGTCCATTGGAATTGAAATAAAATAATTAGTACTACCTACACCCCCTAACATTGGGGAAAAGGGAGTGGTGTAGTTAAAGAAAAGTGAAATTGTCAATTGTGTGATTGTTACTATCTCCGTTCCGCTTAAAGGTTCCCATCGTAAAATGACACGGTTATTTAGATATTAATTAAATAAGGTTATTCGAGTATATTTTGAGAAATAGTTTTGATGTGTATATAATATAATCGGGTCATCAATGATAACTGTGATGTTATAGATGTATTATTTTTAACATTTGATGATTAAACTGTCATTTAAGAGTGTTAATTGTTTCCTAAAATAGAAATGAGAACCTTTAAATGGGACTTCCAAAAAAGGGAAGTGGGAACCTTAGAATGGGACGGAGGGTTTATTAAATTGATGAGGTGTGCATAAAGTAAGAATGAATTGTAACCACCCAAATATTATCAAATATGGTATGAGACAAACTTAGTGGGATAAACGAAAAAGGTAAAATGGGATAAAGGTAGGGGATGGAGGTAGTAATAGTTTTGATATGCATTTTGGAGGAACTAGTTTGTCTCTTTGTTTATTTTATATTAAAATTTGGAATTGAATGATTTTTTAGTTACTGTTTGGATATGTAAACTTACCGGAATGGTTTTTGTAAATTACTGTTTGGATATATAAACACGTTAGTTAGGGAAAAAATAAAGAAATAACTTAAAATATATGTAAGACCCTACTATCTCACTTATACACTGAAATCCGTAGTAGTAATAGACTAATACTCTCATAGCATTTGCTTTTAATTTTTCCCATGTTCTCTACTGCAGCTTTATTTTTCTAATTTCTACTGCTTTTAATTTTTCCCACTTCTAGCTGTTTTTCATTTGGATAGACTGATACACGCTACATTTAAAGTTATGCAAAGATAAAAGATCAAGAAAAAAGTTGAGGAGGGATAGCTGATTTATTTCCTTTATTGCTTTTAATACCTATATTAGCTCATCGATTTTAAGAAATTATTGCCAGGGTTTCCTCCTTTGTTTATTAGTGTTTCTATGCATGTGATTCCTCTGATAAAAGGGAGCTATGCTTTTCTACTGAATATGGAAAAAAGAATTAAGAAGAAATCCATAAAGAAAGTGCTCCAAATTAGGAAGGAAAAGGAAGCTCCCTAAAATTCCATTGTCTCCCATGTATCCTTTAATTCATTCTTGTGACACAAAGAACCCGGGAAATATCATATCTCCCTAATTTTGATTGTATAAATGTGTTACCTTGTTGTCATTGGTAAACCACACACATGGATTAATGGTATCTGCAGTTCCGGAGATCAGGTTTTGGTATTAGGTTGAAAAGCGGGATTCAGAAAAAGAGGAATACATCAAAATGATGATGCTATTACCTTTAATAGTAACCATTGCTCACTGGATTTGGATAAAAGAGATGCTTATGAGAGGCAGTGGATTATAATTCAGTGTAGTGAAACCCTGAAAAAAGATGGTAATGAAAAATAGCCACTATAGATGGATTAGATGCATACAAATTCAATTCTGGGGTGCAACTAGACATTCGATTTCATTTACTTCTTTTCCAATCACAGGATTTAAAATAAATGAATAAATACCCCCTTAAGTGTACTTGTTTGTTTATGATGTTAGAGACACCGTGCTCATCAAGTGTATGTGTTTTTCATGTGATGCACTACATAAATTTTCTTCTATAGTTCTGTTAACAGCCACTTATTAGATTAGGATTGATTTATCTGTTACATACTTCTATAACAGGGCTCAGAATGGAAAGATAAAGCTGAACGTCTTGAAGTAGAGCTTCAACAATGTTATAAAGCTCAATCTCGTTTGTCAGAGCAGCTTGTTGTTGAAGTGGCTGAGTCTAGAGCTTCAAAAGCTTTTGTTCAAGAAAAGGAAGCTATAATTACTGACTTGCAAAATGAGCTTGTCCAAGCAAGGTTTCTTCTTTGATATCCACTTTATTGTAAATTATTACATTGAGTTCCATTTTTTGGACTTCAGTAACATTCTGTTTTTTTTTTTAATTTTCGGTTGATTGATTTGACATGTTAACCCAATTTACTTGTCATTTACCCATCTTTTGATGGTGAAATAGGAAGTTAACCAAAGATGATATGTTTCCTTAATATGCATGATTAAAGCAATGGGATGAAGCGAGTGTTCTATTTCCTGTGGTAAAGCAAGCTCTGCTAAATTGGACTTTGTACCCCATTCTTTAAATCCTTGTAATTTGCCCGCCAAATGTCCAAACTCGGGGTGAAAATTCAAGTATATATCTAACTATGAAGTGTGAAGTCTAAGAAAAATAAACCAGTTTTGGAAGTGAGGGTACAAATGGCAAGGATTTAATTATGAGGTGGAAAGTCCAATTTTGAAGTAAATGTGGGGTGCAATGTCCATTTTTTTAAATGTATAAAGCAAAGCAGAAAAAAAGTTAACACAACAGTGACAACACTAACACTTTTCAAGATAGAATCCCAATTCCCAAGTCTTGATATGGTATCAAAGCCAAAAAATATCAAACGAGTGATCAATTCGAGTTTGTTTTAGGTCGAGTGGTCGATCTGACTATGAATCAAGAACGAGCATACGGACTTAAAAAATGGCTTGGTCCAATGAGCCAAGCTGCCATCTTGCTAGGCATGTTAAGACATTCTATTCCTTTTAGAATGTAACCCCACTTCTTAATTCTAAACACTCAGGGAAAAAGATGAATCAAATATTCAAATATTATTTTCCTTGTTCAGCAAGTGTACTATAATAATGACTTGAGCTATGTGGACACAAAAGGAAAATGGAATAGTTAGAATGAAACGAGAGTTTACCTAGTGCATCTTGATGCACAACAAACCTGGCAGTGATTGATGCAAGCAACGAGAAATACTAGTGATGGATAGTGTACCCGGGGGTAGCTTATCCGAGGGGTTATTACGGTGAATAACTTAGAGAGAAGTCAGAGCAAGTAAGTAAGAGAGAGAGTCAAATGTATTAAATGAACTCGTTCCCCTTTACAAGCTGAATAAGGGCTGCTATTTATAGCAACTATAAATGCGATGAGAGTACACGTGTCAACAATCTAACGGCTGAGGGGTCACCTCAATCGGGGTGGCACCAACATATGCATGTGCACCGCATTAAATGCGGTGAGTGGATGTGACGTCGTATTAAATGCGGTGGTTGGCTGTCTCTAAAAGGAATCTTCGTCGATAGTTCTGTTGCCGAAGGCATTGTGTGGCCGAAGGCATCGGGGGCCCGAAGGCATCGGGTGGCCGAAGGCATTGTGTGGCCGAAGGCATCATGTGGCCGAAGGCATCGGGGGGCCGAACGCATCGGGTGGCCGAAGTCATCGTGTGGCCGAAGGCATCGGGTGGCCGAAGGCTAACATTTTAGCCAGGATTTTCCAGAAGCTTTGCAGGACCATATTAAGATGTCTCCCAGAATTTGGAGCCCTCGGCCATAGGGCCGAAGGCATCCACGTGTGAAGCGTGGACTTCTTCATGCTTGGGCCGCTATGTTTGGGCTTTGTGTGCTCATCGGGCTTGATGGGCCTGTGTAGAAGAACCAGGAGTCTGTGGGCCGGGGTGTCCCGGGCCATATACTCCATCAACTAGATTAGCAAAAAATTCATGTACTGCACTGTTATTATTATTTTTAAGTCAGACTTGGTGATAATGTTAATTTACTGATGGTTTTTTGTTGCTATCATTTGAACTTCTTTATTAATTGCAGGGATGAATGTTCTAGGCTAAGTGCACTTCTTGAAGAAAAGACCAATGCTCTTGAATTGATTACTAGTGAGCACAAAGACATTAAAGCAAAGCTTGAAGAAATGACTGAAAAAGCTGAGAACGCTGAGGCAGAAAATAAGATGTTGGTTGATCGTTGGATGCTACAAAAAATGCAGGACGCTGAACGCCTTAATGAGGTATTATTACTTGTACTCCTTTGTTTCTACCCTTTAGGTTGACATTCGACAATTTTATCCGATCCATGCACTGTCATTGTAAACATGCATCCTTTGCTTTGAAAAATCACTGCTGAAAAAAATTACTGCTGAAAAAAGTCACTGCAGAAATGCTTTTGTTGGATCTGGGCCATGCGGCATTACTTGTTTCTACAGATCATCATTGTTTGTGGTGTTTTAGATTTTTATGGTTGTTGACTTGTTTCAAATAAACATGATCTAATAACAATAGAACAGACCAGACTTTGACATTTGCAAAATGCACACAAAAAACACGTACCATACCAGACTTTGACAGTTGCAAAATGCACATAAAAAACATCTAACAGGCCAGAACATTTCAATCCAATTAAAAATGAAACTAGGAATAAGATTCTGCCAGTAATAAAATAGTTAAAGGAGGACTGAACATGAATAATATCCAGTAATTTGGTTAGCTTACCAAACAAAAGAAGGGATTAATGTGTTCTCTCTCTTTTCTTTTATCTTTTATCTTCTTTATCTTTCTACGTTCTTATGTTATTCTTATCTTTTATCTTTCTTATGTTCTTTTTATCTAATAATTATCTTTATCTTATCCATTTTATTTTACCTTATCTTTTTTATTTTTATTATTTTCTTTCCTTTTTGGCTCTAATATCATGGATCGGTTCATGTTAGCCGACCCCAAAATCTTTTGGGAATAAGGCTTGGATGTTGTTGTAATTGTGTGGTTTTTTTGTTCTAATTTCATATATCGATTCATGTTAGCCGACCCTAATGTCTTTTGGGACTAAGGCTTGGATGTTGTTGTATTTGTGTGGTTTTTAAGGAGTAAAATTGAATTTATAGACATGTAGTCCATGAAAATACTCATTCTAAACAATCAAGACAGACAGTGTTAAGTATCTATCTGGAATCAGTAAGATCTTCATTTTCATTTCATTTTCATTTACCCCAGTGCCGCAAAGGCTCCTACCTACGGTAGGGTAAGGGGGGGTCGGATGTACGCAGTCTTACCCCTGTACTAAAGCACAGAGAGACTGTTTCCGGATGACCCATAGTGAAAATACCATCCAAAATTGCATGGACTGACTGCTGCTTCATAACAAAGAAGCGCAGACAGTTTAGTGAGTCATTTTGCTTTATTCCATCATAATCTCAAGCCAAAAAATAATGAATCTTTGGCTCCATTGCAAATGATGGAAAATGGAATCAGTAAGATCTGCGACAGGAAAATAGGAACGAAGATGAACAGTAAAGAAGATTTGTTATTCGATCAACAGAGAAGAGAGAGAAAGTGTCCTGGCAGTTTAAAGAGAGCCACTCTCCATGTCCCAGCCCAAATGAAACAATACAAACCTGCCTTATTCTGTTATTAGCTATCTATTTATAGAACCCCCTTTTCCGGTTCCCCAAATACAATTTCAGCTACTTCTTATTTCTTCTAACATACATTTTGTCAAAATAGCTAATATTATTATTAAATGGCTGGCTACCAGTGGCTCTAACACAGAGATAGTGTGTGGATGTCTTAGTAGCTATAAGTGTAAGCATTGGTTGCAGGTTAGAATGACCATAACTCATTTGATTTTGAATATAACGGTTGAAAGTTTGTAACTGTGGACACACACACACATGTATAAATACTCCCTTTGTCCATTTTTTGTGTATGATCTTTATTTTTAGGCCAATTCTCTATACGAAGAGATGCTGGATAAACTCAAGGCCAGTAATATAGAGCAACTTGCTCGTCAGCAAGTTGATGGGGTTGTCCGGCGAAGTGAAGAGGGTGCAGAATACTACACAGAGTCAACTATTCCCACTTCCTGCAAGCAAAGGATCACTGCTCATGAAGGGGGCTGTGCTTCTATCATGTTCGAGTATAATGCAAGCCAATTGATTAGTGGAGGGCAGGATCAGACAATCAAAATGTGGGATACCAACAGTGGGTCATTAAGCAAGACACTTCATGGTGGTTTGGGCTCTGTTCTTGATCTTTCTATAACTCATGATAACCGATCCATCATTGCGGCTAGTAGTTCGAACAACCTATATGTGTGGGATGTTGGTACTGGCAGGATAAGACACACTCTCACTGGCCACAAAGATAAAGTGTGTGCTGTAGATGTGGGAAAATGCTCAAGTCGGCATGTCGCAAGTGCAGCTTATGATCGTACAATTAAAATTTGGGATCTAATGAAAGGATACTGTGTGAACACAATTATTTTCTACAGCAACTGCAACAGCCTTTGTTTCAGCCTGGATGGACAGACCATTTGTTCTGGTCATGTAGATGGGAATCTCCGCCTGTGGGATTTCCAAACAGGAAAGCTTCTGAGTGAAGTTGCTGCACATTCTCAGGCTGTAACATCTGTGTCATTGTCCCGAAATGGGAACATGATATTGACAAGTGGGAGGGATAACTTGCACAATTTGTTTGACATTCGTACTCTTGAAGTATGTGGCACATTCAAGGCAAGCGGTAACCGGATTGCATCTAATTGGAGCCGATCATGCCTCAGTGCAGATGACAGCTGTGTATCTGCTGGATTTGCTGATGGTTCTGTTCATGTATGGTCAATATCGAATGGTAAAATTGTGAGAACACTGAAAGAACACACTGCACCAGTTCTATGTTGTTCATGGAGTGGCCTTGGTAAACCTTTGGCAACCTCTGATAAGAGCGGGATTATAAGTATATGGTCATGATGAGGGTGTGCTACTTCTTATGACAGAGAAGGACAGTCAGTATTGATCCGTTTGAAAGTCACAACTCAAGGAACATGACCGGCGGACAGTAATATATAACTTCTCATTATCAATGGAAATATATTTGATGCCGGATGTGAAAAATGTATATAACTTTTTCTGCACTTTTTGTTATCCGTTTAGGCAAATATATGTACGGTGTTTTAAACTTCTGAAGTTCTTATTATCACTAGAGATTCAACAATGCATTGAGGTCACAAGGAAAATGTTCATACAATCTCTATACAAGTTGGTCTTTGTTCTTACCCTTGGTCTTCTTTAATTGACACAACTTGTCATTGTAACTATTAGAACACCTTGTTCTTGGTAGGGTGGCTTCTGCACTCACCACCTCTCCGAGGGAACGTGAGAGATCGAAGAATATAATGTTAGATATGGAAAGTGAGCTCTTTTAATACTTTGTTCAAATTATAAGGAAATTTTATGCCAAATTTATATGCATAAGGTCATTTATGCACGATTCCTATGAGAGAATTTTTCCTACTAGATCTTTTGACTAATCCTACACACATTCTCAAAAAATACGAAATATAAATTGTATTGCAGTGAAATGGTAAATTTTAATGTCCTTAATTAGGGGTTTATGTTGATATTTTGTTGTCTTAAGAATGAGTTAGTTGAGGAAAGAATGGGGCTAAAGGAAAAAAAAGACACCGTGAATGCACTGAAAAGTTCTTATTGTTTATCTTGTATCTTTACTTACATTTTCTTCTCAGTTTCGGATTTTTTGTTGTGTAAAATGAATCCTAAGTAGTAAGTAGTATTGAACATACATAAGACGTATTTATTGAAGTCTTAATAAATGGGCGTATATCATTATCCCTTAGTCCCTTGCATTGGCAAATGAAAATGACAACGAAATATTATTATGGTATACATCAACTCCTACACAAAACTTGAATCACTTGATGGAGTTTATTATTTAACCTAAACATTCACAAGTCCCTTGGGACAAATCACAAAAGGCTGGACCGTTCAAACCTTCTTTTTCTCTTGTAAACTTATTCTTTTCTTCCCAACTTCTTGGAATTGTGGACCTATTGAATAAAATTATGAAATACTTGTTAACTTTGAAAACACTTGATAAACCACAAGAATACAAGATACTTAAATATGAAAATTTGATAATTGAATGTTTTCAAATAAATATTTACATGAAAATAAAGCTCGTAAGTCGTAACAGCATCCACAACTTCCTTTAGACAAGTCAAATAATACATACTACAGAGTATATCAAATTGAAATTATTTTAGTGTTCTACACTTCTACTTCTACATTCCATTTCCTTTACTATTTTTCATTTCTGTTTGTTTCTGTTTTCCACCAAAAACATTTACCAATTCTTCTCTATTTTTCATTTCCCATATTCAATTTAAAATACAATCTGAAATAACTACGTACACATATTTTTATGTTTTCAATTCACAATTTATTGTGAATGCAAGTATTGTGGAAGTGAATTAGGGAGTGTGCATTCATCTAATTTATTAGAATTTCCAAAATGTTTCGACTTTTAGAGTTATTTAAAGTCAGAGCACCCGGACAAATCTTAATTTTTGCCAGACACACTCTACAACATGCACTTTAAAGTTTTAAAACGTGTATTTTTCGTTTATAAATATGATTTTTATTTTTAAAATGTATTAATAATTTCTAATAATTTTAACTTGATCGATAAAATCTCAAATGATGTAACAAGTGTAAGTAAAACAAAGATATTTTAAAATTTATTTAACAAAAAGAATCTTAACAAAGGCAATTAAAAAATGCACTACTGCATCTAACCTACTTTGCACATTAAGCAAATAAAAAAAGATTTCTTTTTAGACTTGCACACGTGTGTTTAGTGAACACAAACTAATTAGGAGTACTCTATTTATCACATTTTGATCGTTTTACTTTTTATTTTACTTTGTTTTATTCAAATCTTAATCCGAAATGTTAATTTTCAACTACTTTTGTCCCCCCAAAGGTTAGATTAAGTAATTTTTGGCGAATAAAACAGTCCCTACGCTATACGAAGTACATCGTTTTCTGGAGCCTCGCGGTACTCCAGTCCCAGGTATAACAGAAACGATGATTCAGTTGCACTGCCCATCCAAGACCTGGATTTCCACACCACCCCCTTCAAGATTCTATCAGATTTATCCTTATACGAGGTAAACACATTCCCGCTCCTTATTCATTTCAAACGCTTAATGGCACCATTAGTTCACTCTATGAATAAGCATAATAAGTGCATAATGATTGACCATTGGTTGGATGGGTAGAAATTTGAGATTTTCAAATGTATGATGGAGCAAAGATGCATCTCTCTCTTGTTGTTTGATGCCTTTTTATTGCATATTTGAATTAGGATGAAGTCATGAAACTATTACAATTTGTGAATATCTTCAGCTGCTTTGATCATCACCTTCCGCTATATGTTTATACTGAAAATGCTTTTCTATGAATTTCTGTATTTTAGCTGAATACGAATTCCCATTTTCTGTCCCACTTGTATTTTTTACCAGACATATCTCTATTTCTTATCATGTATTCATATAAACTGAAAAGAATAAGCGACAAGGGATAACGAGTGGTCTTCTGTTATGATGACCGTTTTTTTAATACCAGAAAGTCATTGCCATGCCCCTGCTTGTGCAACCCTTATTCAGCTTTACGGAGGACTCAATCATCAGTAACCAAAAACGGTGAGTCTGAGTGGTAGGCAATCAAGGGTCCGTATGCTGTTACATGCCTATAATACTTGATGTATTTATTATAAACCACTATTAGCATGCATCCTTGAGGTGCACCCCGGTGAATAAGAAGTATGTAGTATAATTTACATAGGGTGTAGCGGCTGTCAGCTGATACCCTTGCAAACATGTACTTCAGCTCATACATATATTGGATTTTCTTCCTTAATTTATCTAGAAGCTTCCGTTTTTTATAGGTTCCTTCACCATTTCAATATTTCCCTACTAAGCCCGAGTAACTGTGCTTTACTAGGGATGACCAATATCAATTATCAGAAGAAATGTAGGAAGCTGGACTGCTTTCTGACTACAAATGCTTTGGGGTATTTCAATTCTTTGCTGCGGACAATGCATCCGAGTAGTAACTCTCAGGTTTGCAAGGCAACTATACTGTGTATTGAAACTAGTTTAGTTAAGTCATCAACCCTCTGGAAGTTTATAAAGGGACAAAATTGTATCTCAAGATTTTCCAAGTCTCCTTAACATGAAAAATCTTTTCTGTAGCGGATTGTTGATAGGTTTTGTTTTCAGATGTGTTCCAAAAAGTGCACACAGGGTTTCCTAGAAAGACATACTGTAGCAGCATTGCCATCATATGTCACCAGTAGATTGATACATCTAGTTTCCGTGAATATGGAGACAACTCTATTGCATGGACTTTTCATCTATGCGATTCAAGCATTTGGTGCACAGAGTTTGCCTTTTGCTTGCATGTCTAATAACTTGAGCAAACCAACACCACTTGGACTGGATGTGGTATTGCCTTCACTAAAGGATATCAACTGGAGTTTTGCGCGGATTATATATTTGTTCAACATTCAACTTGAGAAAAATGTTGCCATGTAAGTTAGAAGGTCTCTAACTCGATCTTGTCTCATCTTTCTTATACATGCACACAGAACATGATTTATGATTTATGAATTATGAGCTTTTAGTTTCTTTTGCACACTTGTTATTGGTGAGTTTTGAACACCTACATGCCTGTGAGCCATATGCTCAGTGGCATCTAGTTATTCTTCCTTGGTATTAACAATAAAGTAATGATTTTCTGTGGATTCATCAGGTTTTTTATCGTGCTCCTTGTCTCATGTTTCATTTTTGTTCTGATTGGTGGTTTCCTCTTCTTTAAGTTCAGGTATACACTTTCAGTCACATTTTTTAGTCCTGGATACTGTGGGTATTTTTTTTGTCTGCATATGCAAGTGTATATGGTGTCCTAAATGTCCTACATAGAACCACTTTATATAGTAACTTAACTGACTAAATTTGCAACATGGGGAAATGCAGGAAGGATACACATTCTCTTGAGGACTGCTTTTGGGAGGCTTGGGCATGCCTGTGTTCATCATCTACTCATCTCAAAGTGTGGATCGTGATTGTCATTTATGCTTTTATTACTTTGCAGTAGTTTTAACTTTTAATTGATAATATGTACGGAGTACTAATTTTCTTATTTGCGCAAACCACTGATCAGTTTATAAACTCATTACTATTATTATTGTTATACAATTAGTATTTTTTTTTGTATATATTGCAGCAAAGAACACGGATTGAACGTGTGATTGGCTTTGTGCTTGCGGTATGGGGCATTTTGTTCTATTCTCGTCTTCTAAGCACAATGACGGAACAATTCAGGGTATGATATTGGAAAGATGCTACATTGCTAAAGTTTAATATTAGACATCATTTCTCTGACAAGCCTTTCAGGATAACATGCAAAAACTTAGAGAGGGAGCACAGATGCAAGTTTTGGAAACCGATCATATTGTTGTTTGTGGAGTTAATAGTCGCCTAGCATTCATACTAAAACAGCTAAATAATTATCATGAATTCTCTGTTCGCTTAGGTACTGCCACAGCTAGGTAATAAATTTTCTTATATTTCATAACATGTCAAGTTTGTAGAGCACCACTAGTTTTTTATCTTCTTATACCTTTTTGTAGACGACAGCGAATCCTTCTCTTATCTGATCTCCCTAGACGGCAGATAGACAAAATTGCTGACAGCATGGCAAAAGATCTCAATCATATTGACATTCTTACAAAGAGGTAGATTAGAAGAAATTGTTGGACAACCCCCCCACCCCCCCACCCACCCCCGATATAGCTGAATAGACTAATTGCTTGCCTAACTGGTAGTGCACAAATTTTACTGCCCAACTTTCACACGTGATGGCACTTGTATCCTCTTTGTTTTTATTATCATTTGTTATTATTTAATTTTAAAAAGTTATTTTAATAAATTTTTAGATTTGTCTGCCCGCTCACCTTGTCTGACAAGCCAAAATGTTCAGTTTTACCAATAAACAGATCATTGCTCTGTTTGGTAATGCATTTTGGCTTGTCAACCTAGCTTAATCTGATTTTTTTACCAAACACTATCTTATTTGACAATATTAGTTTAGTCTGGTATTCAAAAAAGAAATATTTCAATATTTATGTTTATTGCCTGAAATATTTCATCTAATCTACCTGTTTAGATATTCAACATGTATCAGCAAACTCAGCTCATTCATCCATTTAAACCAAATTCACTCCCATCAAATGGGCTCTATATCTTCAATCACCTATACCACTGTTTAAGCTAAAGTAATTGGTGTTCTTGAAATAGATCCATCTGAAGAGCAAATTTCTTCTTCTTTTGGATATTTATATCCTGTTAAAATCCAGCGTTTTGGACACTTGAAAAGTTATCATTTCACTAAGTGGACCTAAATAAAATGCATTACTGTAAAGACAAGTTATACAAATAAGAATTAAGAAATGTTAATGTGATTAGAAGCTCATAAACTTTGAGCCCTTTGAGTTTCAAATGCTTGTTTTAAAATTGGGCTTTCATGCCTCTCTCCGTTTATAAATGAAACACACTTCTCTATTATTCCCAGCTCAGTGGCATGTCCTGGCCTTCTCTTTATGGGAGGAGGGCCAGAGGAGGGGAAATGAGAAAAAGGAAGGTATTGGGTTTAACTCGAGGCATGATCCTGCTAAGAGTTCTTTTTTTTTAATCTCTACAAGAAACTAGAACCAGACCCTCAACTTGTGTGCCAATGAATTTGTACAATTAGACAGTGACCTTATTTCTGAGCTTTTAATACTTGTTCCTTTAAGATGTCAAACTCAAGTCTTACTCTCAGAGGTTTTGCTGTCTCAGTTGCAGTCTAAGTTTGACAAGATCTTTTGAAAGAGCTGCGGCAAATAAAGCGCGTGCAATTGTTATATTGCCAACAAAAGGAGATCGGTAAGAATCTTACGGATTTGAAATACCTGAGGTCGACACATCTTCCTTTCATATGTGAGTGTTAGGTACCTAACTAATTCACAATGAATTTCAAGAAACAAGATGAAGAAAAGAGATGAACTGAAAGTGTCATATAACAGAAATCTTAAGAGAGAAATACACAGGCAGTTTAAGAGTGCCCACCCTCCAAGTCCCAATCCCGAATAACAATTCCAAAAACCCCCTTCTATTCTACCCTCAACCTCTATTTATAGTAACTCTTCTAATATTATTATTATTATTATTATTACTATTTACTAATCTGCCCCCCGAGTCCTATCAGTGAGAGTGCTAATCATTGGCACTCTATTAGAAATTCTTGGATCTCTTTTTGATTTAAAGTCTAATATATACCTGTTTTTGTGAGTTGAAAAAAAGGACAGATTATACTAGCTGCAAAACCAAGTCATGACAGCTACAAGTATGGCTAGAAAACAAAAACAAAAAACTCATGCTTAGAAAACAAAACTACATCTGTCCGAAAAAGAGTCCTGTTTGGTTAAGGTATGAAAATATTCATTTGCTGAATGTTATGAAACACACTTATATTTTTAAGGATTGTTTCCAGATTAGCTAAGTTCATCATATCTAAATGTTATGTAACTCTGTTTTGGAAAGTTAGAACAGAAAATGTAAAATATGACTTTATTTCATGAAATGAAACTATGTTCTTTTGGGACATTTTTACGTAAGAATGACTCTTTTTCTGGATGGAGTAATAAACTGAGTTACAGGTCAGAAGTGATGCATCTTATCAGCAGATGTCATGCATGTTCCCACTTCCCATCCTATATCAAGTAATAACAATAAATCTCCTTTTAATGATTTGAATGTTCTTGATTGTCCTAGGTACGAAATTGATACTGATGCTTTTCTGTCAGTACTAGCCCTCCAACCTCTTCAAGAAATGGCCTCTGTGCCCACTGTAGTTGAGGTAAGTGATTGCCAACTTTACCTCATATGTCTCTTATCATTAGCAAACGCTCTCGCCGACTCAGTGCCTTTATTGCATGCAGGTCTCAAGTTCCAATACTTGTGAGCTTTTAAAGTCTATTTCTGGATTGAAAGTACATCCTGTGCAAAATGTTACGTCCAAGTTATTTGTTCAGTGCTCTAGGCAGAAGGGGCTCGTAAAAATATACAGACATTTGCTTAACTATCGAAGTATGGTGGAGCATATTATAAAACACGTGCTCTTTAAAATATAGTTTGTGATCATATTTAACTTCATACAGATTCAAGTTTCAAGATGCAAATCTTTAAATCAACAGTCTGAAAATAATACAAAATAGGTAGATGCATATGCAGTGCACAACTGCGCACAACCACATGGCGCTTTCAGCTCCATTTTCTATAGTTCATTTCTATTCATTATATAAGTTAGTTTATATGATGGAATAAAGCAAAATGGCTTACTAAACTGTCTGCGCTTCTTTTTTATGAAGCAGCAGTCAGTCCATGCAATTTTGGACGCGATTTTCACTATGGGTCATCCGGAAACTGTCTCTCTGTGCTTTAGGACAGGGGTAAGACTGCGTACATCCGACCCCCCCCCCTTACCCCACCGTAGGTGGGAGCCTTTGCGGCACTGGGGTAAATGATGATGATATAAGTTAGTTTATGAAGCCAACTTTATTTGGGTATGCTGGTTTGTATATTATCAGTATGGGCTAAGTTTAGATTGAGGTTTCTGTAGTTCCTAGTCAAATAATGTTAAAGTTACTAGATGTATACGTGGAGTTGACAAGGTTTAAATAGTGACACACTAAAGTATAAACATACTGGAAATTTATGTTCTGAATTGACTGTGTATTCCACACAAAATACTTTGCAGCAGATAAGGCAGATTATCTTTCACAGTTCACTACTGGAGAATGTGGTGCTTTCTTTCTCAAATTTGGAGCCTCTGTTCACTCTGTTTCTAACTTGACTGTCTGATATAATGTTATGCTCAATGATATTTACCACAAATATATGTGCCATTACATTAGCATGTTATTCAATACCCGAGAGTTTTCTTAATTGCTTTTCAGAAGTTATAATAAAGGATGGTTCACTTTGCAGAAAATGTGTTTAATCTCCGCAGCTTTCCTGACCTGGCTGGATTAAGATATAAGCAATTAAGACGTGGTTTTCAAGGGGTAGTTGCTCTCCTAGAAGCTTTCTATATTCTATATGCATGTTTCAGGCTCTAATTTCTTTAAAATTATTTAACCTTGTTTAGGTTGTTGTCTGTGGTCTCTATCGAGGAGGGAAGATATATTTCCACCCAAATGATGATGAAATTTTAGAAGAAAATGATAAAGTATGTACCGACTTATATTTTACTGATTTATCTTATTGTCAACCGTTGCAAAAACAATTCATATGTTGTTTTCATTCATATCCCTATCTCTTTTCAAGTTTCCAACTGATGATGACTGTAGTGTTTACAATTTTCTGTTTCTTATTGACAACAAATTATTCAAGTTAAGAATAAAAACAAATTTGTTAATCCCAAATATGAAACTGGTACCTTTATTTTGCACAGCTCTTTTATGGGATCTCAGGATTACTATCATAAATTCATAATTGAACTTATGATTTATGAATCATTGACGTCTACATTAGTCTTGAGCTGCCACCAGTGAATGTCAACTTGTCAAGGCACATGTGAATAGATTCTTTCCATGCTTTATTAGCCCTAGAATACTCGTGTGGAGGATTGACATTTTTTTATCCTTTAATCTTTTTTATCCTTTTGTCCTTTTTATCTTATATTTTTATCCTTTTTATCTTATTATTTTTATCTTTATCTTTAACATATTTATTCATATCTTGATCTTGATCTTATCTTATCTCATCCTTTTGTATCTCATCTCATCTCATCTCATCTCATCTCATCTCCTCTCCTCTCCTCTCCTCTCCTCTCCTCTCCTCTCCTCTCCTCTCCTCTCCTCTCCTCTCCTCTCCTCTCCTCTCCTCTCCTCTCCTCTCCTCTCCTCTCCTCTCCTCTCCTCTCCTCTCCTCTCCTCTCCTCTCCTCTCCTCTCCTCTCCTCTCCTCTCCTCTCCTCTCCTCTCCTCTCCTCTCCTCTCCTCTCCTCTCCTCTCCTCTCCTCTCCTCTCCTCTCCTCTCATCTCCTCTCCTCTCCTCTCCTCTCCTCTCCTCTCCCCTCCTCTCCTCTCCCCTCCCCTCCTCTCCCCTCCCCTCCCCTCCCCTCCCCTCCCCTCCCCTCCTCTTCTCTTTTTACCTTTCTTATCTTTCTTATCTTCTAAGCTCCGGTTTCATGTATCGGTTCATGTTAGCTGACCCCAAACTCTTTTGGGACTTTTTTTTGGGACCTAGGTTTGGGCATTGTTGTTGTTGGATGCTTTATTAGCCCAGCTAATACTTGGTATGTGCAGGTTCTGTTTATTGCGCACATACAAGGGAAAACACTTCCACGGCTTGATGATTCTAATGGTACAGAAGAATGCGAAGATGTTAAAGATGGTATTGAAAATGTGAAAGATGGTAGATTATCAAGTCATATTCAGGACATTAGAAAAGCACGCCTTGAGAATATTGTCAAGCGAACAAGATTTAGATCTAAGGTCAGCTAGCTAAGTAACAATTCTTGCTTATGTGAACATGCACCATGTCTAAATTTCCTTATTGTGAGTGCAGGCATCAGACTGGTCTTTGGGACCAAAAGAGTGTATTCTTGTTCTTGGGTGGCGCCCAGATGTTGTGCAAATGATTGAAGAATATGACAATTATCTGGGACCTAGTAGTGTTTTGGTAGGGACCTATTCGTCTTTTAGTAAATTGTTTATGTTGTATCAAACCAAATGGCATAACAAATACTCTATTTCTAGATCTAATGATGTCTAGAATTGCATACTGGGCCACAATCCTGATTAGAATTTTTTATTAACTGAATTACAGTTTGATTTCCATCATTTGCAATGGAGCTAAAGATTCACTATTTTTTGGCTTGGGAATATGATGGAATAAAGCAAAATGGCTCACTAAACTGGCTGCGCTTCTTTGTTATGAAGCAGCAGTCAATTCATACAATTTTTGACGCGATTTTCACCATGGGTCATCCGGAAACAGTCTCTCTGTGCTAAACAGGGGTAAGACTGCGTACATCCGACCCCCCTTACCCCACTATAGGTGGGAGTCTTTGTGGCACTGGGGTAATGATGATAATGATGATGAAATACAGTTTGTGAATTTGGAAATTTTTATCAATGCAATACTTACCGCTTTGAATAAAAGAACCTTTATGATATTGAAAATTCACGATGGTGCATACTAAAGATATCTAGTTCCTTCAGTGTCATAGTAAACATGTAGTCTTCTAGAACATCGACAAAGTTTACCTTAACATGTATTTCACCCCCCCCCCCCCCCCCCCACCCCATATCTGAAATGTTTTTCCAGACATCATTCAATTCACAGTTTTCTGAAACTGTCAATAGATATGCTTCCATCAATCATGGACACCTTACTATTTTAATTTGGTCATATTCCATTTTTTTGCAAAATCTGTAGGAAGTCTTGTCAAATGTTCCCTCGGAGGACAGAATTAACGCAAGCAGACTTGCTGGTCATGGAAAGCTGAGGAATGTGAGAGTTTCTCACAGGGTATTTTCTAATTTTTCCACGTAATGAAATGATGCTACAGTACTTATTCATTCATACTATTACGGCAGCTCATCGGTTTCTTAAATCTTAAACATTTTGCTGCAGATTGGAAATCCAGTGGACTACGACACCTTGAGGGACACAATTGTACACATTCAAAAATCATTAAAGAAAGATGAAGATATTACATTCTCCATTGTTGTCATACCTGATCGAGAATGGCTCCTTGGAGGTAACAAAATGTGGATTTATCCTGAGGTTATAGGGTCATTTTGCAGCACTATACCCTTATCTTCTTCTGTTCAGATCCATCCAAGGCAGACAAGCAATCTGCGTATTCTCTTCTCCTTGCTGAAAACATTTGCAATAAACTTGGGGTGAAGGTATCTATAATGACCTATCATCAGGCCTAGCATCTTTCAGAATTTCAAACATGTTTTTTGCATTTTTCTATGCTAATCCTGAAATCCTTTTTGTGATCTTTTTAACTCATAGCTTATAATGCTGTGTGTCAGAGGTGTGCAAACTACATAGCCATAAACCATTTCGGGACTTTAAATTCTAGGCAATTGGTTTTTCTAAATTGGGGATGAATGGCTTTACTAGTATTAAGGACTTATTTTCTAGAGCATTCATTCTATTTTATATACCTTGCCTTATTATCTATCAGAAGCACCACCTAATAGAATTACATGATAGTGCCTATTTACTTGTAAAGATTGTAGTATGTTTATGTAGTACAAAATAAATTGCAGTTCACGATATTGGATTTGGTTAAAGGTATAAATCTCATATCAAATAAGTATAAACATGTAAATCGACATTTGAAGTCTTTGAATATTCTTCTTCCTCATAGGTTACCTTCTGAAGATGAAACGTAAGACTTAATTTGGGCGTAAGGTATATGGTCCTATTAAGACTCAAGTGAACACAATGAGTTCATGATCAGCCTGCTCTAATGAGAGATCTTTCCAAAAGCCCTCTGAAAGAACTCTCCATTAAGATGTTCTAGAGACCTAAGCAAGGCTGATGGTTTAACCTAAACCTAACGTCTACCCCTCTTTTATGTATTTTATAGCCTCATGTAAAGTTGGTAAAAGATCATCTTCCCAGCATCATGCTAATAATGATTTACTTTTGATAGGACTTTCCAATTAAGCAAATCTAGTCTATTTCTTCATGCCTTGATCAATTCCCTTATTTTCCTGAATCGACTTCCTGATCGCTTTCCTTTATTTGACTAGTAGTAGGTGTATGAATATAAGCCTATCACTCTATCAGGCATGATAGGTAGGTGTATGAATATATGCCCATCAGGCATATTAGGAGATGATTCTCGCATCAAATAAATAAATATAAATATATAAACCAACATATTAACTCTTTGCTTACTCCTCCAAACAAAGTTATGGAACTATGTCTTAATAGACTTTGTGTCCAAACCACAATGAATTGATATACATTTGAACTCATTTTATGTATATTCATCATAATAATAATGGTACTGAATAATTGAAAATTTTGCTTTTATAACATTGCAGGTTCAAAACCTAGTTGCAGAAATTGTTGATTCCAAGTTTGGGAAACAAGTATTGTTTTTTCCTCCTTATCTCATGTAGTGACAAAACGTAGGGAAGTAATAGGGAATAAAATCAACTTTATTATTATTCTTGTTCTGCTTTGAACCATACGGCCAATCCTTTAAATAGGAGAAGAACCGATACAGAGAATAGCTTTTCTAAAAGGAAACAATCACAAATAATAAAAGAAATAATTACAAGTTATTTGCTTAACATAAATAATATACTATATCCCGTAATACCCCCCCTCAAGTTGGAGCATGGGGATCAAGAATGCCCAACTTGCGTAGGAGAAAATGAAATTGCGTCTTGCCCAGGGCTTTGGTGAAGATATCTGCCAGCTGAATAGTAGTCGGTACATAATTGGGAGCAATTAGATTGTCTTGAATAGCATTACGAACGAAGTGACAGTCCACCTCAATATGTTTTGTACGCTCATGGAAGACAGGATTCCGAGCAATATGCAAGGCAGACTGACTGTCACAAAATAGAGGAATGGCTTGGGGATGATGAATTCCCAAACTAAGGAGAAGAGCTTTGAGCCATTTTAATTCACAAGTGGCAGCCGCCATAGAGCGGTATTCAGCTTCAGCAAAAGACCGAGCTACGGTTGTTTGCTTTTTAGTTTTCCAAGAAACCGGAGAGTGTCCAAGAAAAACCAGCCAACCAGATACGGATTTCCGAGTAAGGGGGCAGGCGGCCCAATCGGAATCACACCATCCGGTAAGAGTAAGATCACTATCAGCCCGAAGCAAAATTCCCTGACCTGGGGAACCTTTTAGGTATCGAACAACCCGCAGAGCAGCATGCCAATGATCTAGACGTGGGCTGTGAAGAAATTGAGATAAAATATGAACCGCATAAGTCAAGTCTGGACGGGTAACAGCCAGATAAACGAGGCGTCCCACCAGGCGACGATATGGTTCAGGATCCGTGAGAGAAGGACCTGAGGTCTGAGCAAGATTATGATTTTGTTCAATAGGGAAAGCCGCAGGTTTAGCGCCAAGAAGACCAGCCTCAGTAATAATATCTAGTGCATATTTGCGCTGAGTGAGAAATAACCCAGAAGAACTCCGAGCAACTTCAATGCCAAGAAAATATTTCAGTTTCCCCAGATCTTTCATATGGAAACAGTCACTGAGATAAGATTTAAAAGAATTAATGGCCACTGAATCATTGCCAGAAATAATAAGGTCGTCCACATACACCAAGACGTTCAACTGAACAGAGTCAGTAGCACGTGTAAAAAGAGAATAATCTGCAAAAGACTGAGTGAAACCATAACGTTGTAAAGCACTAACAAGTTTGGCAAACCAACACCTGGGTGCCTGCTTAAGGCCATACAAAGATTTTTTAAGACGACAGACCAAGGTAGGATCAGGAGTAGAATAGCCTGGAGGTAAAGTCATGTACACCTCTTCATGAAGATCCCCATGAAGAAAGGCATTGTGAACATCCAACTGATGTAATTCCCAGTTTTTAGAAGCAGCAACAGCTAAGAATGCACGCACAGTCACCATTTTAGCAACTGGAGCAAAAGTTTCAGTATAATCCAGCCCGGCAACCTGGCGGTTGCCAAAGATAACCAATCGGGCCTTATGACGCTCCACACGTCCATCGGCATGATATTTAATTTTGTAGACCCACCTACATCCTAAAGCCCGCTTTCCGGAAGGGAGAGGAGTGAGGGTCCATGTAGAATTTTTTTCAAGAGCTTGAATTTCTGCCTGCATGGCTTCACGCCATTCGGGATGCTTAACCGCCTCACGAAAAGATTGAGGCTCTGTGTGTGAGGAGACAGCTGCAAGAAATATACGATGTGGCGCAGAAAAATTATCACAACTAACATAATGTGTAATAGAAAACGGTGTACCTGCGGAAGCTGATGGAGTCGGAGAGGGAGAAATGGGATTCTGTCGAATAACTGTATGAGTAACATAGTCCTTCAGACGGACCGAAGACTGCTTAGCACGCAAACCGCGACCCAAAGGGATATTTTCTTCCACATGAGACAACATATCTGGTGGTACATCAACCGAGGTAGTAACAGGAGGAACATCAACCGGGATCGTGTCCACGGGAGGAACATTCGTGGCTGGGGAGGCCACATCTAATACATCATCATACGTTGCTGGCAAAATCGGAGGAGAGGCACTAAGTTCGTCTGAATCCGAGGCCAAAGGGGGTGGCGAATCCGCAAAAGGAAATTGGTCTTCAAGAAATTTAACATCACGGGATACAAAGTATTCATGTGTATCCAAGTCAAAAACATGCCATCCCTTTTTGCCAAAAACATACCCAACAAAAACACACTTGCGGCTGCGACTACCGAATTTATCAGTTTTAGATTTCAAATTATAGGCATAGCAAAGACATCCAAAGGTGCGCAACTGGTCATAGCAAGGTGGTTGACCAAAAAGAATATCATAAGGCGTTTTAAAATGAAGTACAGACAACGGTGTGCGGTTAATCAAATAGGCGGCAGTGAGGACACACTCACCCCAAAAAGAAATAGGCAAATTAGCCTGAAACCGTAAAGCCCTCGCCACATTGAGAATGTGTTGATGCTTGCGTTCGACCCGCCCATTCTGTTGCGGTGTCCCAACGCAGGAGGTTTGAAAGATAATCCCACTAGTGTGGAATTTTTTTTTCAAACAATTAAACTCTGTTCCATTGTCACTACGCACAACGCGTACCTGTTTAGAAAATTGTCTCTCCACCATAGCAAGAAAAATCATAAACATTTTAAATACTTCAGTTTTGTCCATCAACAAATATATCCATACAGCACGAGAACAATCATCAACAATAGTCAAAAAAAATTTTGCACCACAAGAAGATGGAGTATGATAGGGACCCCACAAATCACAATGGACTAACTCAAAAATATCATGAGTTTTATTACTACTAATGGGAAACGAAGCCCGGTGCTGCTTGGCCCTAAAACAAATGTCGCATGCGGAATTAAAAGAACCCCTTAAATTACTCACTGGTGCTAACCAACGCATCACATTGCCAGATGGATGTCCCAACCGTTTGTGCCATAAATCAAAGATAGAATTTTCGCTACTTGCAACTGTCAAAATGTGGGCAGTAGGTGAATCTTGAAGATAGTACAACCCATTTCTCCTCTCACCCGTTCCAATCAGCTTCCTCGATACTCGGTCCTGTATAACACACAAGTCAGAGGAAAATTGAACAAAACAATTAAGCGCATCATTTAATTGAGTCACCGAAATAAGATGACACTTCATTTGAGGAACAAATAGGACATGTTGCAAACATAATCCATTAGAAAATTTAACACATCCTTCTTTAGTAGCTTGAACCGTTTTTCCATCGGGCAATCCAACCGAACACGGAGTTATGTTCTGAGTTTTAAATAGAAGATTTAAATCACCACAAATGTGATTTGTAGCGCCGGTGTCTATGATCCAAGTGCCGGTGGAAAAATTACCTGCCATGCGACCAGACGATGATTGTGGGTTACCAAAGGCCGTTATCAAAGCCTGCCATTGCTCTGGGGAGAACCCAGGCAATGGTGTACCTGCTGTTTTATCACATGCGGCTGGTTCGTGTGGCAGAATGGTGTCTGCCACTGCTGCGTGAGCTTTAGCCATCGATTTGTCTCGTCCAGTCCCCTTCGGTATTCCCTTGCCGCGACCTGCAGTTTTAGTGTCGGCCCTGGGTCTATCCCCCCACCAATCGGGAACCCCTTTAACTCGAAGCAGCTATTCACATCATGGCCGGTGTATTTGCAGTAAGAGCAAACTAAGCCGGTCTTGTCAATTTTAGTTCCGCGCCCGTATGCACGGCCATCAGTTTTGACAGCAAAACCGAGAATATCCGGTGTTTCCGAACCAGCAGTCATGCCCCTCACGCGTTCTTCCTGCACGGTGTTTTGATATGCGCGATTCAGAGTCGGAAGTGGAACCTGCGTGAGAAGCTGTGACCGAATAGGACCAAAACTTTCAGCATTTAGTCCCATAAGAAACTGATGAAAACGTTCATCTGCCCTGCGTTTTTCATGTTGCTTTCCCACGTTACAAGTGCAACGGCCACATTGACATTCAATTATTGGTTCATGATTGTTTAATTCATCCCACAGAATTTTCAATTTGGCATAATACATACCAATTGACATCCCTTTGGCCTGTGTACACCTTGCCAAATCAGTTTTGACTTGGTGTAATTTCGGGCCGTCTACGACTGAAAAACGTTCTCGGAGATCATCCCACAGAGCTTGCGCATTATCATACATAGACAGAGTATTCTTCACATCCGGAGAGATGGTGTTGAGGATCCAGGACACCAACATAGAGTGAATCGTAATCCAATCATCCTCCGTACATGGCGGTTTGGGTTTGGTGATGGTGCCATCAACGAACACATATTTCCGTCTAGCACGCAACGCCAATCGAATCGCATTCGCCCAATTGTCATAGTTATCTCCATTCAGCCGCACCGGGGTAATGGAATCGCCTGGACGATCTTGCGGCCCCAAAAAATAGGGCGAGTTGTGGTCTATCTTCGCCGGTGGCTGCCCGGCAGCGTCATCTTCGTCATTGGCCATGGCAGCGTTTTAAAGCTCTGATACCATGACAAAACGTAGGGAAGTAATAGGGAATAAAATCAACTTTATTATTATTCTTGTTCTGCTTTGAACCATACGGCCAATCCTTTAAATAGGAGAAGAACCGATACAGAGAATAGCTTTTCTAAAAGGAAACAATCACAAATAATAAAAGAAATAATTACAAGTTATTTGCTTAACATAAATAATATACTATATCCCGTAATATGTAGCTAAGCTATACTATTCTTTCCTGGGGATTAATATACCTCCGCTGCTACCTGATAGATTACAAGAATCCGGCCTTCTTTAACTTACATTGCAGCAGAGGAAGTCATGAGCCTCGTGACTGCACAAGGTTTAAAACTACATATTTCATCTTGTAAGGTGTGAAACATGATTGACCGATTCGTCTCTATTCACAGTTGCAGAAAACTATGAATTGAATGAAGTCTGGAAAGACATTCTGGATGCAGAGGGGGATGAAATATATGTTAAGGTAGTAAACTTTGTCAATCTTCTACGACTGCATATCTACTACTCCGTAAGTCCGTATATGACAGTGAAAGAACTTGTTATCTTCAATATACAAAGATTAAATTGGGCTCAACTCCCCGCAAAAGGATCTTTAGGAGATGAGGTCTACCTCACGCTTATATATATATAAATCTTGTAAATTCAATGTGTAAAATTAAATTAATTTCGGCCAATATTCAGGTGATACCAAAATGTAAAATGACTTGTGGCTCCTGATATTAATTACGTAGTATGATTTACCTTTATTATACATCAAACCACACTCAATGGAAAGCTGCAAGTTGATTTTCTTTGCCTTCTGGTACACCTGAAAAGTAGATTGGATAAATTCCATCGTGCATGCACTGTATTAAATGCGTACCAAGAAAACATATAATTTCTGGGTCTTTTATTGACTTGATATTGCTTTTCTGCCTTCTAGGATATCAGCCTGTACATGAAGGAAGGGGAGAATCCTTCCTTTGCGGAGCTCTCTGAAAGAGCATATTTGCGAAGAGAAGTTGCCATTGGTTATGTCAAGAGAAACAAAAATGTATATTTACACACATATGCTTTGCTTAGAAGACGACATTTTAGGAATCATCTCATAAATTGAACTGATCAATACAGGTTCTCAACCCAAATCCCAAGTCAGAGCCTCTTTCTCTTCAACCTGGTGATTCCCTGATAGTTATCTCTGAACTAGAAGGAGAACAGCCTGTGGTCATTGAACCAGAGTCTTGAAGTTTGGTAGTTTATATATATTGCATCTGGAAAAGGTGCAAATAAGCCCCTCTTTAGTGCAGATTGACCCATAATTTTTTTAGGTGCAAATATAACTTCAATATTTTATTCAAGGTCATATTGGCCCTTATTTGCCTTAAAAGGCTAAAATTAAAAGCATAAAGATCTTCAGAAATTATTAAATAAATGGATGAAGTTTGAAAGAGACATAATTTAGAAATACTTTTTCAAAAAATTAAATAAATGCTGCCACATAAAATATATATGAGTTAATTATCAAAATAGGACTAAAAGTCATTCACTTTTCACAAATAGGATCAAAAAATAAACTATGTTTGCACAGGACTAATTATGTGTACCTTGGACAATTATACCCTTATAGCTATTAAAATGTTTTAATTCCTAATAAAATAATAAAAAATAATAAAAAATCGTAAAAAATACTAAAATATTAAGAAAAACATTTCGATATTAAAAATATAATTAATTTTTTTTTTCAAAAACTTAAAAAAATTAAAAAAAAAATTAAAAAAAAAAACTAAAAAAAAATCGCAGCCGCCTCAGCACCACCACCTCCAGTCACCGGGGAAAAAAAATGCCAAGTTCATTACGAATGCCATATTTATGGCAGAAAAAATGAAAATGTTGGCATTCGAAAAGAGAAATATGCCACTTTTTTGGCATTTTCAGAAAAAAATGGCATTTTTCTGGGAAAATGACATTTTTTTCATCGCCCGGAGGTGATGGTGCTGGGAGGTAGTACAGTCGGTGGGAAAGGCATCCATATTTTTTTAATTTTTTTTTACGGAGTTTTAATATTTTTTATTAATTTTTTTAAAAATAAAATTATTTAAAAAAAGTTTTTGAATTTTTTATTTTATAAAAATTTTATACATTTTTTAATTATATTTCTACGAATTTTTGAATTTTTTTCGAATTTATTATGAATTAAACATTTAATTATGGCTTTTGACTATTTTTAATTCATATTTAATGGAAGGGTAAGAATGGAATGCAAAAATAGGTATGTTTCCAATAGGACTTATATGGTTCTATTTTGGAATAAAAACATAGCAAGTCCTATTTTAGGTTTTTGCCATAGTTTTAGTCCTATTTGAACTAATTTCTAAATATATATTTGCAGCGCGTTTATCTTAGTTTTTTGTTGTGTCTTGTTTCCTTACACATTACCTAAACATGTCTTTCAAAATGAAACACATTTTGATTTTCCATCACAAATTTGAACGCTATTAATTCAAATATCTTTAGAAAAGAAGGTGCAATTTATTGTGTATTTGTGTCTAAATGAGCAATAAAACGTAAAAGTTATTATTTTTTAAAACTGCTATGCATATATTTTACAACTATGGAACATATAAATCTTACTTGATGTTAAAATTATTAAAATTTCTTATTTTCTATTTTATTCTTTCATTATTTTTCATTCGTTACAATAACACCCAAGCCTTATTCTCAAAAAAAATTGAGATCGATTAACATGAATAAATTCATGATATCGTAGCCAAAATGAAAAGAAAAATAAGAAAAGTAAAAAATGGGTAAGATAAAAAGTATAACATAAAGATAAAGATAAATATAGGATAAAACAAAATAAGAAAGAGAAAAGATGAAAATAACATAAGAAAAATAAAGAAGATAAATTATGACCTTTTTTTACTAATATTACTAAATTAAATAAGAAAGACAAATATATGACTAAGTTGTAAGTTTTCCAAAAATGTGATTGAACATACTTTTCCTTTCCCTTGTAAATACGGATTCTTAAATTTTTTACGGAGTATTATTTTTGTATTATATTTAGGGATGGACTAAACTGGGCCGGGCCGGGCCGCTACTATGCGGGCCTAGATCGGACCGGGACCGGTTGGACGGTTCCAGGCTTTTAGCCTGTTTGGGCGGGCCGGGTTCGGACTCAATTTTGGGCGAACCGGCCCGGGTCAATTTTTTTTGCTTTTTCAATTTTTTTTTCTGTTCCTAGGGTAGGGCTGGGTGTTTTAGGGAGGTTTGGGGCTGGGGGTGGGGGGGGGGGGGTCGGGGGATAACAAGAAAGCAAAAAAAAATAGACATTGAACCGGGCCCGGCCCGGTTAGGCTCGGACCCGGTATCAACCCGGGCCGGTTCCGGGCCCAAGGATTTGCAAAAAAAAAAAAACCGCCCGGACTCGGCCCGGGTCCATCACTAATTATATTTATTATCATTAAGAAGCAATTGATTGTTCTCAACCACCACCACAGCCATCACTGCCAGAAGTATCACCACCACCGCACCGCTGGCAGTACCGTCGCAGCCTCCGGCAGTATTGTCGTCGCCGCCATCACTGTCAGCACAGATCTGCTGCACACATCTCCATTGACTCCATCCTTGTCCAGTGATTATGTTTGTCAACGCCCAGTGACTCATCCATTGCTTAGTGACGGCAATGTTCAGTGACAACCGTCGTCTACATTCAGTGAAACCCTATGCTCAATTCGAGTGACTAGCGATTGCCGCCGCAGTAATCGTTGTGGCAGTGACTGTCGTCGCAGTGACTGCTATCATGTCCAGTGACGGTCCCATAATGACTCACCAGTCCCAACCCCTTCTCCAGAATTGCATAGCCAGTGCCATATCCCCCTCCCCACTCCCAACCTCCCATCCCCTTCCCCGGCGCTGCCCAGCTAGTGCTCCACCTCCCGCACCCCACCCCACCTGCTGAAAACAGAGCTATCCCACCTCACAAAGACTTTGCCGTCCGTAGCTATCGTTGACCGTCGTTGCCCTTGCGCCGTCGTATCCAAAGCCGATGGGTTCGTCGCTATCAACCCCAATCGCGCACAATAGAAAGACAAGAAGACGATAAGAGCAGAATTCACGATGAGGCAGTGACGGTGCGTGGCAGTAGGGCGAGGGTGAATGCGTGTGACGACGGCGGATGTGCCCAAAGGCGGCAGATGTGCTCAAATCTGAGATGGAGATATCTGGGATAGAAGATGTGGAGGGGGTGGCTTCATCCTGTTCTTCTGTGTCAAAAGAATGTTGCGATATGCCTTTGGTAGGATATGCATGTATTATTGGGATTTAGGGCTATGTGGGTTGTATTTAGATTTAGGGATTAATCATTTAATTTACTCATTTTTCATTTCCTAAATCAAATTAATAATTTTTAATGGTTTTTACATTTCCTGGAATAATGACCCAAATATTACTATTAGAGTTTCAATTGACAAAAATATGACTACTTTATGGTATGACAAAAAAGTGACCTCCCACCTCCCGACTCCCCATATGTCGTATCTCGTTTATTCATCCAAAGCTCCTAGTCCAAATTAAAGCTTCCAGTCAAAACTCTTCAGCTCCAGGCGGACGGCCTCCACAGCTATGCCACTCGTCGCATCCACATCGTCGGTGTCTTCTCCCCGGATTTTCCATTCTTCTCTTATCTTCATTCTCTTCTTCTCGTTTCTCTGTGGATGAGGGTCGAAATCCTTTAGACAATGGGCTTGCGGCTAGGGTTATGGTCGATGATGTTGGTTGATGGTTGGAGGTTGAGGAAGAGGGCGATGGTCGGTGGCTATTGGCTAGCCAGATCTGAGTTTCAATGAGAAACCACAAGCGGCAACCCGTTGGGCCGCCACTGCCTAGTGTTTCAGGGCGACGGTGGTGGGACGATGTGGTTGAGTCGCAGGGGTTGGAAGGTCGGGGATGGGGATGTGAAGGTCAGAGAGGGGGTTGGCATGGTGCAATACGGTAGGGGAAGTGACAGTGGTGTGGTGTGGGGTAGTGGCGGTGGTGCGGAGCTGAGGAGTGGGGGACAGTGATGGTGGCGTGGGATGGGGCGGTGGTAGTGGTGCAGGGGCTGGGGCGTGACAGTGGTAACTGACCGGAGGGCGGTGACCGGAGTAATTGTGTGTCACTACGAAGTTTGTCACTGCGGATGTGTCGCTGTTGCCGACGGCGGTGACCGCCAGCGGCGGTGACGGCAGTGACACGAGCAATGACGGCAGAAGTGACACGGGCGATGGCGGCAACAGTGACACGAGGGCGGCAGTGACATCCGATAGTGACGTGAAAATGGGGCAGTGACATAAATATTTGGATGTCAATTTATTTTAGTCACATTTTTGTCCAAATGTAAAAGTGATCACATTTTTAACTTTAATTTAGTAATATTAAGGGAAAAACCCGGAATAAGAACACAAATCTTACTAATGACTTTGTGAAATACAAAAAAAGTGACTACTTTTCTTTTTTTTTCAAAAATATGACTTAGCCTGCTGTCCCAATCCATCATTTTCCATCCCAGTCCATTCTTTTCGTCTCAGAAGCAGAGCCGACACTATCAACCAAGGAGCACCCAAGGTCATCACAGAAGCGGAAAAAACATCTCCCCAGACCGTCGCAGGAGCAGAGGAGACCACCCCCAAAACCGTCGTCATCGCCTCCGCGAGAGATCACCTCCGCCGCACTCGCCCATGTCTACTCCCTACGTCTCGACTCCGACGGCTGCCAAGGTCGCGGCATTGGCAATTCCGCCACCGTCGCCGCCCTATTTTGGGCTAGGGTGAGTCGCCTTCTTCTTCTTCGATGTGTGATACCTTCTTCTTGTTGTTCGTTGGCTTCATCGATCTCAATATGTCGCCCTATTTCAGATCTGGCGATGTTGAGGCTGTTGGGTGGTTGTTTGGGCTGCTGCAAGTCACTGGGTGGCGCTGGGGTCACGTGATGCGGGGGCATAGTAGTAGTGGAATGCGGCAGTGGCGTGGTGGTGGAATGTGGTGGTGGTGTGGAACCAGAGGGCGGTGGCCGGAGTAATTTGTATGTCATTGCGAAGTTGTCACTACGGATATGTCACCGCAAACTAGACACTGTGACTGGCGGCGTTTGTCGAAGGCGGCGATGGCCGGAAAATAGAGATATCACTGTGGTCAGAGGTTGAGGCAGAGATGTCACTACGGAGTTGTCAATGTGGATGTGTCACTGTGGCCGACGGCGGTGGCGGTGACCTGCGGCAGCGGCAGTGACGACAGTGACACATGTGATGGCAGCGGAGGCGTCACTGTGACCAGCGATGGCGGATATGTCACTGTAGAGATTAGTTTCGCAAATGTCACTGCGGAAACGTAACTGTGCATTAGTCACATTTTTGTTTAAATGTAAATGTGATTACTTTTTTGGAAATTAGATTTAATTTAGTAATATTAAAGGAAAAACTCCTTCTTGTTTAATCATTGAAAGGCAATAAAGGTCAATATCTTGAAGAAATATTAGGTGTATATTTGCACTTTAAAATGTTAAACACAAAATTGTGCTGGAGACATCCATTAGGGGCTTATTCACACATTTCTTTAACATCTATTGTCACGCCCCAGACCGCAATCTAAGCGCGTGTACAACCGCCGTATAATCGAGTGACGTCACCCGCAGGTCGACCTCACTTAATCATACAAGGCGTTCGAGAAAACAATCCATCCATACTCAGTAGTAAACATACATAACGACATCACAATTAAACCATTGAATAGCGGAAACATTCAGCGGTGATTCATAGGCCACATTCGGTCAATAACATGGGCATGCAAGCCCAAAAGTAGTTTAAAACAAATAAAAATATCCATGAGCAATGTTTAGTAATTTGAAAGAACATGACGAAGCACGAACAACGTCTCCCTTGAATTTGATGTCACCCGTAGAAAGGTGCAGGTAGTAAGCCCTAGCTTCAACCTGAAAATGGTGGGGCCCTCCGAAGGGGTCAGTACAAGTACCGAGCGAGTAGCAGGCTAAATATAGAATAACTAACGTTTCAAGTATAAGACCCAAACATAGGGTGATACTTATATAAATAGTCCCTTCCCCCAAGTTAAGAAATACTTAATAGTATATATACACTTGGAAAATACCTGATCCGTAGATCACCATTTTATTTGGGGAAAATAGTAATAGTCAATATTCTTGACTAAAACCCCCAGCCCACCCATATACTTATGAGTGTATAGGACTCCTCCTTATCTTTATTTCAATTTCATAATCTATGGGTTTTGAGGATAACATAATCCTTGGGTACTCCACCAATTTATATTTGAGTGTTAAGGACTTTTAGTCCTAGGGTCCTCCACCAAGTTTATAATATGAGTGTTAAGGACTTTTAGTCCTAGGGTCCTCCACCAAGTTTATAATATGAGTGTTAAGGACTTTTAGTCCTAGGGTCCTCCACCAAGTTTATATTTGAGTGTTAAGGACTTTTAGTCCTAGGGTCCTCCACCAATTTATATTTGCGTGTTAAGGACTTTTAGTCCTAGGGTCCTCCACCAAGTTTATAATATGAGTGTTAAGGACTTTTAGTCCTAGGGTCCTCCACCAAGTTTATAATATGAGTGTTAAGGACTTGTAGTCCTAGGGTCCTCCACCAAGTTTATATTTGAGTGTTAAGGACTTTTAGTCCTAGGTTCCTCCACCAGTTTATATTTGCGTGTTAAGGACTTTTAGTCCTAGGGTCCTCCACCAAGTTTATATTTGAGTGTTAAGGACTTTTTGTCCTAGGGCCCTCCACCAAGTTAATATTTGAGTGTTAAGGACTTTTAGTCCTAGGGTCCTCCACCAAGTTTATAATATGAGTGTTAAGGACTTTTAGTCCTAGGGTCCTCCACCAAGTTTATATTTGAGTGTTAAGGACTTCTAGTTCTAGGGTCCTCCACCAAGTTTATATTTGAGTATTAAGGACTTTTAGTCCTAGGGTGCTCCACCAAGTTTATAATATGAGTGTTAAGGACTTTTAGTCCTAGAGTCCTCCACCAAGTTTATATTTGAGTGTTAAGGACTTTTAGTCCTAGGGTCCTCCACCAAGTTTATATTTGAGTGTTGGACTTTTAGTCCTAGGGTCCTCCACCAAGTTTATAATATATGTTCAACCTCCTATCAACCTAGATATAGTCTATATCATATTCATAGCTAAATAACTTCATAAAGCTTATGTATTTCAATTCATGCAAGCCATGCATTTATATCAATTTATAATTAACTAATACCAACCGGTATTAATTAATCCATCATCAATCGGTCAACGTTTTCGTTAACCGTCACTTCAAGCCTTATACATATCAACTTAATCATCATATATATTAAGGTAACAATATTCATTCTATGCTTCCTTTACCTTTCAAACATAGCATGCAATTTCATAGATATTCTCATATCATATTCTATGCATATTCATGTACTTCATTTCATACATGTCTAATCATTTTGGCTAATCATATGTTTAAATATCTTTTAAACATCATTATGAATACATATAACATTTATTTAGGTAAGCTCATAATTAACCCAAAAGTTATAAGATATTAAGCCGTCCACTCACCTTAAATGAGCTTTTAGCGTGTTCTACGCTCCTCGGTTGAAATCCGGCGAAACTCCGAGGAAACTCCGACGAACTCTAGAAACACTTTAGTTATGCTCCTAACATGGTTTTATCATCACAAAACTCATATCAATACAAATAACCTCTAAAAGGTTATTTTCCGGTGAACCGGTCGTTTTGGCTTCTAAGTCCGTTCCTGGACTTAGAATTACCTTCCAACCCCTCATTCTACATTTCTAAACATGTAGAACAAGCCTAGGGGTTCCTCATATGCTTATAAGTCACATGATAGATAAAAAGTAGGAGAAAAGTTTTTATAAGGTTATTACCTTAATCCTTCACATTTTCCCTAACTTTTTCCTTCTTTTAATCACTCCTCTTTGGACCTTCTTCCTTGAGCTCGAGTTCAGATATGGAGGATGAGTATTTTGAGAGTTTCTCCCCTCAAAATGATAGGGTTGGGCGAGCTAGATGATTGGGGGAGAGAGGATGTGTACATTTGTCTCAAATGACCAATAAATGGGGGTGAGGGGTCCTCTTTGGTACTTTAGATGCCAAATGGCTCTCCTCCACTCCTTCCTTTGTCATTCCAGCCCCCCTTATTTCTCATCGAGCACACATAAACGTGGGGTGGCCCCCACTCATGTGAGAGGTCATCCCTTTGTGTTCCCGATTTGTACAATCGGCCCCGAAAGTTGTATTTTTCGGACTGTTTTAATTATATTTTATTTTTTCGGGTCAAATAAGATATATTAAGTGTTTCCCATCATTATGGACTTTTAGAATGAATAAACATTCCTCATCTTAAATTTAGAAGTCTCCGAAATCTGTTTCGGGCTGTCATCTGATAAATTACCAATACCGGTAATTGAGCCTCGTTTGACCGACGGGTCAACCCTATGCCCTTTCTATGGCCCAACTAAAACATCTACCACCATATACATATTATCTAGACCAAGATGAATATAATATGTGGTCCCGGAATTATCAGGTGGTCCCCGCTCCCGATGTGGCCCCACGTGCAATTTACTATTCACGCAAAAGAATTAATAAAAATTTACAACCTCGTAAATTCATAAATCGTTCCTCAAGATTTATTACATGATTTACTAAAAGTAAATATACTTGGGGACGGTGTTACATCTATGCCTAGTGTCTAAATGCCTACACCAAATTATTGTGATTATATATTATGTTAATCACATTACTAAGTATTATGTTTGGTCCTCGTTAGTTAACAAATGTTTTTATATATATGAGCTGTTAATTAAATGAATTAATAAATATGTAATTAAATTCATTTAAGCGCAATTTGGTGCATTTTTTGGGGTGTTTGGAACTAATTCTGTTTCTTTTTTAAAACATGATCAGAATCAGTTTTCAGAAGCTGGTCACCACCAGCTTCTAAAATAACTGATTCTAGGAGTAAATTAGAGCACCAGAATCACTTCTGCACTTTCACCCAAACACCCCCAAAGGACTACTACTAATCTGACATTCTCAAATCTAAAATCTATTATTAATAATTAATACTATCGTATTATAGCTGGAATTACGAATAGACAATCTAGATTTGGTTTTCTACCTCTTGGCCAAAGCAAATATTCTCACCACAAAGAGGAACTTCAAGACAGCAAAATGTTTTAAACGTATTTCACAAATATTTTTTTCTTGCATGTTTTTTGAACAAATATGATGGCTACAAAAATATGACTTGTTTTGCCGTCAGTGGTCTTGACGCTCAGTGACAGTCGTCCCCGCTCAACGACCTACTCTGACATAGACCATGCCTCAAGGATGGCCATAGTCATGCTCCAGTGACCTGCTTCGACCAAAGTGACCATGGCTAGTTAATTAAACAAAGGACAAATTAGTCTTATTAGAGTTACATTAAGTAATAATTGTGGTGCGCCAAACAACATCCTTTTTTCGTTTTGGAAAACGATTTGATGAACACGTTTTTCATTTTAATTTTCTCCAATTTTCCATTAATTTTCTTTGTTAAACACACTTGTTTTTGTGTTTTCTACGGAGCATTTTCTAGTAAACGGCCCTAAATATCTCAATCATTTTGCTACCGTTTACTACCTTCGTCGTAACCGGTAGTAACTATCCTCTTTGGGCCTGACCAGTGGGTTAGTGACTATCCTCTTTTTCTTTCCTTCCACGGCAAAGCTGCAGCGTAGCAGCGCCTCAACTGGCTGATAGCCGAAAACCTTCGGCGGCCTGTCACCGTTGCTTAAACAATTCTACGTCGGAGTTGTTGATTCTCTTACATATTCACCATCATTTCGTTTGCTCTTTCCTATCATTCTCTACATATACGTATACTATCTGTACATATTTCACGGATAGAAGGATGGTGCATGGTGGGTACGGTAAGCGGAAGATCTCCGAGAAGAGCAGCCGCCGACCGAAGTCTTTGGGTGCGGAGAAGAAGCCCAAGCCCAAGTCAAAGACAATCTCCCTCAAGAATCAAATTCGATCTATCGAGCGCATGCTACGCAAAGTACCTCTCTCTCTTTCGCTCTTTCACACACACACACACAAAAACATCTTATGGGTGCGTACTCGTTTGAGACCCTATACATATCGGTAGCTCTTCATATGGGACGAGTTCATGTACTGACAGCTTATTAGATATGGAATTTAGGTTTAGGAGTAAGACACTTTCTGAATTGCAGCTAACAACTGCCGCTCTTCTCTACGCAACCCAAATCTGCCCGACTGCCCCTGTCAAGCCATAGAACCTTTCAATATTTGAACCGCTTAAAAGTGTATCAGCGGTTGTTAGGAAGTTTGTCTTTGTAATCAACTGTGGGTACCCTGATGTCAGGTGAATAAGTGAATTTTAGTTTGCTTTTCCTTTTGGCTTGATGTGGAAATATTACTTATGAAGAATTTGAATGATAAGCTTCTTCGGGTAGTCGACATTTTGTTGAACTGATGCCCTTGTTAACTGATTTCAATAATGCAGGTTTATCATTATGCCAATCTAATCCATAAGCTCATTAGAAACTCCAATGGCTTTGAGAATAATGGGATAATAGTCTCAAGCTATTGTTGGTACACTTGATTTGTAATGCATTTAACCATAACCTCTTTTCCTCTAGGACCTGTCTCCTGAAATCAGAACAGCGCAGGAAAAAAAGTTAGAAGAATTCAAGAAGCAGCAAGATATTCACATTCGTTTAGCTGTTGAACGGAAACAATTCATTCGAAACAAAAAGATCAAGTTTTTTGGTAATGGTCTGCTTTTTTTAGTGGGACAATCTGTGCCAATTGCTATTTTTCTTTAGTGGGACATCTCTCTTGCAGTGTTGCATACACTGATTATCATAAGGTCTAAATATTAAACATGTTCTAATGTCAGTTTTGTTTTGTTATGGTTAGATAGAAGAAAGATTGAAAGGCGAATAAGAAGGTTAGAAAAACAACAGCGCACTTGTTCTGGTCAGGTACAAGAAACTCAGATTGCTGAGCAACTTGCTAGGCTGAAGGAAGACCTTGAATATGTTAAGGTAAAGGATTAGCAATTTCCTGTACTGTTGTTGATCTTGCATTCAACTGCAGTTTCATTTGTTGTTTCCAAATGTCATCATGCACTTTTCCAAATGTCTAATTCTGAAACAAACATGGAAGAATGTGCCACCATGTGGTTTATTATATCCACAATTACATTTCCACATTGATGGTAGAACTCTTACAGGCGTGTTTGGTTTAGATGTATGAGAGGGAATGTGAGATAGTGGTGTTAATTGAGCCTAAGTAACACATCCTCCAGCTCTACCATGAGCTTGTCCATTTATGTTTTGAACTCTCAAAATTGATTCATTTCAAGCTGAAGATTTTGAGCTTGAGAGCCACATGTAAGTGTGTAAACTTTAATGGATTTAAGTTGCAACAATGCCCTAATTATGAGTCCAAGTCTCGTTTTTCAGTCGAGCAAGATTGTGTTGTTTATGAATTGAAATTCAAATTGTGTTTAAGCTTAACTCATTTTGTCAAATAAATAAGCCAAACTTGAGGCTCGTCGAATTAGAGTCAGACTCATTTCTTATAACACTGGGAGGAGGGGGAGTTGGGGAATGCTTACCTCCTCTAATTTAGAGTTGTAGCAGTCATAGCCCTCCCTTCCCTTATTTTTCATTCTCTTCCTCGTGTTTGTTTAGGGCAAGCGTAGATCCATTATCTCATCCGTTCGAATAAAAAAAGTGACACAAAAACATTCCACCCCCTTCCCTCAGCTTTCCATTCCCACGCAGGCATTGGCACAGATTGATTTGGTTTTGGAACCAACAGTTACCGAATCTATACACTGGGTAGCATAACAGAATATTTTTACCCGTTTAGAACCCCCATTCCGATTTCCGATGGCTATTATAGTTAGTTTATAGCTTTTTAAGCCAGTAATTGTGCTGAGAGAAAAGATAAAGCTAAATTTGGGACCACTGACGTTGTCTCTATACCACCGCTTTGGATCCGGTTCCCTCATTTCCAATTTTGGTTCTGGTCCCCCCCTTAACCGAGAACCTTATACCGTGTGGAACGTGTGGAACCCTGTAGGCCTGTACCCTGAAACTGTGTCCGCCCCTTGCTTATGATCCCCTCCCTTGAACCAAACACACCCATAGAAGAGCAATTTGTCATACACTCATACTATAGTGGGTAGTTGGTACATGTCATTTTTTGTTCTTTTAGCAATTTATGGTGGAGAATGGAGATAGTGTGGGCTATCCCTATATCAGTCAATAAAGGTCACGAGGACTGCATCATCTGGGGTTTATATGATACAAGTGGCCTCCTGGTATAAAATCGGAAAATTCAAGTGTCTGAGATTCTTTTGGTTGCTGGTCTGGAAAAAGGAAGATCCTTACCAACCCGAAAGGAGTTCACAGACACCTAACGTCAGACACATGCTTCCAGTCTGCAAAGACTAAGAGGAATCCATGTGCCACATACTCTGGGATTGTGAGTGGGCCCAAGGCGGCTGGACTGGCATGGTGGTCCATCCTTGTGATGGATGGAACATTTCAACGATGATGGTGATTGGTCAAAATACAACTGCAAAGGGAAGGGAGGGGGAAATGGTCATGTGGGCATTGGGAAACAAGATTGGCATACCAAATTTTGCACATATGGAAGTCTCAGAGAGAAGCACTCTTGAATAACATGCAACGTCCTACCGAGCTTATAATCAAGAAAGCCTTCTCTTAAGCCTTGGAATCAAATTTATACCTCTCCACGGGTAACATTGAACTGCACAGAGCTCTTAGGCTTGTTAAATGGTGTCCTCCATGTGTGGGGACCCTCTAAATCATCTGGGATGGGGCTTTCAAAAAGATGGTGTAGGTGCAAGTGCAGGAGGTTTGGTCCGCAACAGGGAAGGGGAATAGGTTTTGGGTTTCCCCGTAAATGAAGGTCAAGCTAACAGTCTCGACGCTTGAGGCAAGAGCTCATTCTGGACAAGGGCAACGGATGAAAAAATGTGGAAGCTGAAATGATAGATTCCAACCCGGAAATCTTAGCGGGGACAAAGACTGCATCGGAGGTTCTGAAAAGATTTGCAGGCTGGATAGTGACTGTTGTGAACTCATGCAGGTGTGCTGGGGCTGATGATTCAACATACTTTTCGGAGGGAAATAGGTGTGTGGCCATCGTTGCAAACCTCACTCAGCTCCCAGGAGGTCTCGCGGTGCGCTCCTTTCGGGGTGCCTTGTTCAAATCCTCTGGAAAGAGATGTCAGTGGTTTAGAATTCATTAGATCATAATTTTGTATTGCTTTCTTGTCTGGTGTTAAAAAAAGATCAGTTTTTCTGCTCAAATCTTATCCAACTTCCTGTTCCTTTTTTTATTTCTATACTGGCTATATTTGTATTGAAAGATCTGCTAGAGGCATGTGGAATATTTAGTTCCTTTTGATTCATTTATGTCCCATATCTATGGGTCATCCGGAAATAGTCTCTCCCTGCTTTAGTACAGGGTAAGGCTGCGTACATCCGACCCCCCCCCCCCTACCCCACCGTAGGTGGGAGCCTTTGCGGCACTGGGGTGATGATGATGATGATCTATATTGAATTTTTTTATTTTAATTGCAGTTCTTTCCTAAAACCGAGAAGTATGTATCCTTGTTCACTGGAGGTGAGGATGAAGAGATTGTTGAAAAGCGAAAAGAATTGCGCAAACAGATTAAGGCAAACTTAGTTGCTGCTGCTGCAAGTGGCAAGGATTTGGAAGGTATGTCCTTGGGCTTTTGGAGTGCTTGATTCTCCACTTCACCTACTTTGAAACCGAGTTATTCCGTTTTGTTTTATATTATGATTGAAACAATATGTTATTTTTTCGTGAGTTTTTTGTATTTATGGAACTAATGTGAGTTTGCATTACTACCCTTAGAGACAGGGAGTGAGGATGATGGGCTTTTGGATCTAAGTGATGATGATTTCTTTGTGAGTGGAAGCTCAAGCGATGAAGCTGATGCTGATGATGAATGGACTGATAAGAGTGCTAGGTGTATAACCTGTTTTTATGAAATTGCATACTGTTGCTTCATATTTGCATATATAAGCTGCGAATATGATTGTGTGTGAACTACCCAATACTTCAAATGTATAATTGATTTGCAGAGATAGGGAGGGGCTGGAGGAGGCCTCACCCCCTCCCACAATTTCGTTTTCCGTGTAAATATGTATGTAGTCTATGTACAAATATTTGTAATCTTATAAAAAGTAGAATTATGATTACATAATGTTTTGGCTGCCTAACTCCCCAAGTATCTGTTTTAAGCCCTTCCCATCCTCTATATACTTCATAGGCTGCAATGACGAAATGAATTATTTCCACATAAGATATATTCTTTTTTATCTTTTCAAGTTAGTTTTCTCATTGACTGCTTTAAAGCGACACATGTGTGAATCTTCATTATGATGCCTAATGATGTTTTTCAATCAATTGATTATCTTGGATCTATAAGTTTTTATTGATTACATTTCTTGTGATATCGTGAAAGGGAACATGCATCTAATGCTTCAGGTAAAGCTTCGTCGGGCATGTCCAGTGATGAAAGGAATCAGGTTATCTACCCATTCTTCTTCACTCCCTCCCCAAATCCCTTGCTAAAACATTATGCAAGACATTTTTACATCAATTTTTTAAATCTTACTTTAAGTGCATTAATACAGAGGCAGGTTTCTGCCCGCTCTTTAATGCCTCCTCCTCGGCCATCTAGCAAATCCTTCTCTGGTTCAGTCCACAAGAAATCAAGATTTGGAGGATCTTTGAGTAGTAAAAAACCATCATCCTTCAGGGGACGTGAACTGTCATCGTCGAGCAACACGTCAGATAGCATCAATAGGTCTGCCTTCAGAAAAGGACATTCCTTAGATTCACTTGCAGGCAACAGTGGAAATCAAAGCTCAAACTCTGATGCACGTAGACCACGAAGAAAGAGGAGGCCTAAAAAGAAAAAGCAACAACCCTAACCATCCTCTTTATGGCTGCAATATTGTTCATTACCCAAGTCTTGGGGGTTTTGTGGGAACAAAAAACATTTAGTACTTTTAGATTCAGTATATTGTGCTATACTGTATCCAATGTACCGTTTTCCTTGTTCAGTGGGAGCAACTGTTTCACCATCAGCAACTAATTGTAGTTATGCAGTTTACAATGCCTTGCAAATGCATTTTGCTGTATACTCAGTAGATATGAGTAGATCATGTATTCTTGTTCTCTTTATTTGTGAAGGAAAATGTCATGGGATAGGGCAGTTGGGGGAGCTCCAACACCCTATTATGTACTCCGTATTATTAAAAGCTGTTTGGTGAATGCATGCTTCTACATCAATGCTACAGACATTGTTAGACGCATATATTGGCAAATGGTTGAAACTTAGCTTATCGAGTGGGTGTCACATAATGGTGTTGGCTTAAAAATGCAGAGCGATGGAAGCTAAGCATAAGCATGATTTGACATATGGTCAGGATTCACCTATTTAAAAAATATAGATAATTTTTATTCTTTATCATGCCAACGTGAGTCCAAATCAAGGCGACTTGGGATTAATTTTGATTCTTTATCATGCCAACATGAGTCCAAATCAAAACGCATATTTTGACTATTTTCAATCTCAGATGAAAATTGATTAAACTAGATTTGGATAATTATAAAACACATAGATCAGTTCATACCTGATCAGACTTAATTATACTAAGCTAGACCAGGTTAAACTAGATTTCTTAGTCTAATTAAAAACATCATTAGATTAGATATTCAAAAGAATATCAATCTATTAAATAAATGTAAATTGTTCAATGATGCTGTCCAATTCGTCAGATGAACTCACGCAAACTGTTATTGGAGTTCAGGTTGGAAAACTTGTGATCAAACCAAGGCAACTAGTACAAGAGTTCAAACAATTTAAATTCCTACACCGAATTTATGGATGAGTTATTTCTCTAACATATTGAAGTATTTAACATTAGCATCTAGAATAGACGTTCAATCTTATTTAGAATGTTTTTGATTGAACTAAAATTTTTGGTCTGATCTTATTTGGTTTGGTTTGTTTGAGACTGAGTTGGTCTACTCTGGTAGATGCATGTTCTATATGTACTTTATAACTGCCAAAATCTAATCTAGTATGATCTGTTTAAACCTGGTTTGATCTGATATAGTTTGGTTTAATAGTGAACCAGTCCAACTTAAAACATATAATTTCTAGGTCGAATCACCAAATTGGTAAAAAGAGTTGTTTCACAGTTTCACAGATGGGTAAAAAAACTATTGCGACATATTCATAATTTTAAACGACTTTGACGTCATATGGCTCAGTTTTTACCAACCTATAAACAATGAGCATGTTATTGAGATGAAAAACTCCTCACACCATATGTATACAGATTGAGATGGTGATGAGTAAAAATAATGAAGGCTATGATAATTAGATGGGAATCATGGATATTCTCTCATTTTATGGGCCTTAATGATGTAATGAAAAACATGAATAGTGATAAAATGAAAATGAACCATTTCGTAAAATATGCCTAAAGTTGCATTCAAAGTGATCTGGTGTCAAAGATTCTGTCCAATACAGAACGATTACTTTCTCGATGTAAAATCGCTCTAATAAGTTAAAGCAAATCTTTTTTAATTTAGAACACTAACAAGAGATGGCAATGGGAGGGTCGGGGAGAGGGTTATACATATAACCGTACTTGCCCACATGATAATTTCTCTGCCACGTAATTGTCCTTTACCGTAAATGACAGAATCAGAAAGTCAGAGCCACGAGGTCCCTACTCTTATATATCTCTGATCTCTAATTAATGTAAAACTAATAAAAAAATATTAAAGAAACATAACACTTCAAAGTTAACGTACAACATCAAAACATTAAGATATATTATAAAGCAAACAGTTACATATAAAAGTCATTCAACAATTTTATAGATGTACTCTCCTAGACTTCATTTGTTGGAAATATTCTATAATAGAATCATCACTAATAGTACCAAAAACATCTCTCTCAACATACGTAACTAAGCAATCATTCAACCATTGATCGCAGATCTTGTAGCGCAACTCATTCTTCACGAACTTCATACTTGAAAACGCCCGTTCAACACTTGTTGTAGCTACTGGGAGAAGTAGAGACAACTTAATAAGTGTATACACATGCTGATATGTGAGATGCTTCTTCGTGGAAACCATTTCAATTGAAAGGTCTACTAAACCATTCAAATAAAAAAATCTATTATCAGAACGGACATCTAAAATATAATTCTCAAACTGATTCTCGAGTATCTTTTGATCAACATCAGAAAACTCTTTTGGATAAAATTCAGCCAATTTTAGCAAAGATGCCCTATCAAAAGCTTCAAACGAGGAGGAAGGACATAAACAAGACACACAACGCAATAACTCAGTGCTTGCCACATCAACCCTGCTATCAAGCTCAGCCACAAACAAATTAACAATCTCATGTAAACAATTACACTTGTAATGATGCATGTGGGTTATACTCGGTGCCCTGCGCTTCGATCTTTTTCCTTTGATGTAGTTCTGATCCATAGAAGGCACATCTATACGAAATTTGTTACAAAAAGTAACAACCTCATCAAACAAAGCACCCCATCCAATATCTGTTTTCATTGCCGCTAAACGTTGTTTGACAACTGTGACTAGTTTCAAAGCATTCACAAGATCTTGTTCACGTCTTTGCAATGCCTGTGAAAGATCATGTATAATGGCCAAAACATTGATCATCAAATGAAGCATGAAACAAAATTCAAAAGTTTGCAATTCATTCAACAATGAAGTGGCTTCACCACTTTTATCATGGTCTTCCAAATCTTCGAGCACCTCAATCACGGATTTAAATAATTTTTGCAAATTAAGCAATGATTTGTAATGAGAACTCCGTCGTGTATCACCTGCTCTGACTAGTGCCAATTGTTGATTCAATCCTCTTCATGTTTTTACTAGTCCAGCTTCTAAAGCACTTATCAAATCACTTGCTTGTTTATCTCGAAGGCATTCTTGTCGCTTATTTGATGAGCAGATCTCATTAATTACGCGACTAACATGAAGAAGTAACCAATTAACCTCATGTTGTCCTTTAACAGCGGCAACAAGTGACAATTGCAATTGATGAGCTAAACAATGGACATAATATGCATAGGGATTTTCATTTTGAATTAGAGTTTTCAATCCACCAAACTTACCCCGCATATTACTCGCTCCGTCATAGCCTTGTCCTCTTATGTTTGAGATGCACAGACCATATTGTGCTAGAATGTTCTCAAGAGATTCTTTAAGAGATGATTGAACTGTGTCTTTTACATGAACAAGACCAATAAATCTCTTCAAAACAGAACCATTACTAGCAACAAAATGCACAACAATAGCCATTTGCTCTTTACCAGAAACATCCCCTGATTCATCAACTAATATAGCAAAAACATCATCTCTCATTTGCTTAATAATTTCATGAACAGTTAGAAATGCACAAGCATAACACAAGTCCTTTTGAATTTTGGGTGAAGTCATCTGATTGTTTTGTGGAGCATTTTTAGGACTCTATCTATCTCAGAATCATGTTGTCTCAAAAGATCTAAAGTCACAAGAAAATGACCTTTATAACTAGGCTCTATTGATTCGTCATGACCCCGAAACGGCAAACCCCCACAAAGAAGAAATCTAGTGCACTCAAGTGATGCCTTCAAGCGAATAAGGTAATCACACTTCGCTTATTCAGATTGTTTCACAAAACATGCTCCAATACTTTGTTTTTGGTTCATCAAATCTTCCAATCTTTTCACTGCATTGTGAATGAGGACTGTTAGGTTTACCAACAAGTAAATAAAACCTATCTTTTTTATTCCATGTTGAAAACCCAATTCCCACGAAATCATCACCCCCAACTTCCCACTCATTCTTAAACAAATAACACGGCAAACAAAATGCAACATCTTTGGTAATAATGTATCCCAACCATTTATGCTCATCAAACCAACTTGAAACAAATCTACGTTTTTTGCCTACAATTAACTTAAAAGGGAAATCATGGTCCCGAGGTTGAAATGGTCCTTTTTGAATGTAACTATGACGTACCTCATCTTGAACATTAGGGTGAAAATCAGCAATTCTTTTTCTCAATCCAGGATCAGCTTCCAAAGATTCAAAATCCTCATGTTGTTCAGGTAGATTATAAGCCAAATTAGCTTCACTTTCAGCAATTACTTGATCCAATTCTTCATTTACTAATGGCGGATCATTTGAATTAACACCCGAACTACTCCCGGTACTTTGAGTTTCTTTAAATTTGGGTACAACATCAAAATATATTTTCATCCTAAATCGTATAAAATTGAAAATAACATTTATAAATACATGAATTTATTAATTTAATCTAACATTAAAAAAGATATGCAATTATGCAAAGAAAAGCAATTAAAAGAACGACGTAGTTTTGGTATATTTAATTTAAACATAGAAATTGAAATTTGAAAACCCTAATTTTTGAGCATAAAGAAAATCGCACCAAAAAGTTTGAGAAACGCCATTAATGGAGAAAAGAAGAGTATCTAACCTTGGTGGCTCTTTGGCTTGGCGGAATGGCGGCCTTGACCGCTTCCCGCAGTGGCGCAGTCCCGCTTGTCGTCGCCTCGTCACTCGTCGGCACTGAGGCACTCGGCCGGTCAGCGGTCACCAATCGCGGTGGTAAGAGGTGGACTGGTGGTCTGGTGGAGGAAATAGCAGCGTGAAAGGAAAAGGGGGGCAGGGGGCTTCGCAGTTCGCAGATGGGGGGAACCGGGGAATGGCAGCGTGACAGGAAAAGGGGCTGGGTCTTTTGTTTTATTTTGGGCCTAAGTTAGGCCATGCCTTCCCTTAAAAGACAAAATAAAAATGCCAAAAAAAAAACAAAATCCAACGGGATTCAAACATGGTACCTCCCACAACTTAAATACTTTGCTTCCAAGCGTGTTCCCGATCCACTGCTCCATTCTTATTGTTTCAAAGTTGTTTTGTTTGTAAATATACATTGAATAATTAATTTTAAATAATACATATATAATATATATAGGGTTTTTTCCGAGCTGGACGGGGTCCTGGGACCCCTTGGGACCCTTAGTGGGTCCGCCACTGTTTACCGCTAAAAGTCTATTATCTCTCTTAAAGAGGTGGATTTCTAAAGAAGACACTATCATACATTGCAGCGATGACATCCACACACACAATGAAATGACATTGTAGTGAGAACATCCATATATACACACAATGAAATGACATTGTAGTGAGAACATCCATATATAACACAATGAAATAAGAAATCTCATCCTTTTTTGGAGTTAGATAAATAGTTAAAACAAATGAAATTAAAATATAACTAAA